GCAGATAACCAGGGTAGAGAGGCTCTCAAATCACTCGTCCACAATCATCGGGACAAATACCTTGGACTTTTGAGGGATGATCAAGACAACATCCTCGCAGAATATGCCGAATGGAAAAAGATGAAGGTCACTGGCTTATGCGTCTCGACAAAATCAAAGATAAACAACATTACTCAAACTGTGAAGGCCGTGGAAAATGAGGTGCACCTTCCATTCATTTTGACTTACAACGCTGCTGATGCATAGTCCTTACTACTATTAGCTCAATAGCCTCAATTGTCGCATGGGCGCAGAGACTATTCTGTACACAACACGTGGTTCTATGGACCTTCCTCTGCGAGGTGTCACTTTTTCCACCCAAGGTGTCCAACATTTTATGGGTTCCGTCATGGGTATCGACAATCAGGACTTCATTAGCAAGATGGAAGGTTTCGCAGTGCAAGGAATGAAAGGTTTGATTGTTCATCATTTTTTTTGGCCTGCTCACTCATTATATTCAGGTGCTGCTATGAACCACAAACAGCAGGTCTCTGTGATCTGTTCAAAAATCCGTAACATCATCAATGCCACACTACATGAGTCTTTTAGTGTTCAAAGGCAATATATCTGACTTGTACATGTCCGCAGAACAAGCCACTGGTGATTCTGGCGCCAGAATGCAATGGAGTCATTACTTTCTTAATGTTGTTCAGCATTATCAGGTCACCATTGAGGGCTGGCCTGACAATATGCCTTTCGCTAACCTTGGCCAAGTGTTGAGTGCTCGTTCCGACCTCGAGAAGCTCTACTCAAGATGGGAATCAAAGGAGACAAAATGGAAAGTCTTGACTGACGACGAGTTCCAGGAACTCCATCAGAAACACCTGGAGCAGCTTGCCAGCAGCGAGAATATTGATCACCCACGCCGAACTCGTTCCGACAAAGAAAGAAACACAAAGCACTTGCAACAGCCACAAACACACATCGCCACAAGAAGTACAAAAGCTCTGAGACAGTTGAGGACAGTGATGAAGAGCACGAGCACGGAGACAAAGAACAGGACCAACTAAACCTTCGATCTCCTACACCAATCGCTACTCACACTCATCCGTCTCCAGCGCGCATTGACGAGCAACTGCCTGTTCACCAAACTCCTACACCAGCTGTTTCGTCTGCTCATTGTGCTTCTGATACCCTTTCCAATTCATCTGGCATGCCAAATTTCTATATTCCCAGTGACTCAGATGTGTCAGGAACATTTTTCGGCCCCCAGTTTGACTGTGGTGCTGCTTTGGATGCCTTAAGTGAGATGCTTGATTATACACAGTATACTTTACTACTGAAACTTTTTTACAAGTCAGATACTTCGTCCCGCACATTAGACTTTACTATTAGCTTTCACTTTCTTGGTTGTAGTACACATGAACATTGTCATTGTCAAGGTTCAAATAGATATATAGCGCCTATATCAGACTAATACTTGCTTTCGCGTGCAACAAAATAGAACTATGACAAGGCGACCTTTGTCTAACAGGCGCAAGAAGGAAGCTTGGTAACGAGAGACAGGTAGCACTCCCATCCCAATGACCATTCTGTAGTCGGCACAATCCAACCCTCTCAAACCGAATTCTCTGTCCCAGGCTAGATCTCCGATACTACAAGCTACAACTCTGAAGTAAGGCAGAGAAAATCAACATAGTACCACTAACCTGAGCCTGTGCAATGAGAATACGAGTTTGGCAATGGCGTCCTCTAAAATTGTGTGATATGACTGATTTTGATAGGCCTGTGAGCCTAAAAGAACCTGCGCTACGGGACATGGTGTACTGGTGCAGTTCTGACGCAGTGACTAAAGGGAGGAGAGGCCAGATACTAGGGCTAGACACAGGGAGGGCACAGATGCCAAGTTTGGCGCAGTTGAACGCAGTTGAAGGGAGCAGATTGTGCTGCGCAGTGTTGGCAGCCAGAAAGACGTCTTCCTCGTCTGAAATGAGGGCATGAGCAGCCAGTAGTAGGCCCTAATAGCTCAATGGAGGCAGCGCTGTATGATGGTGAGGAGCAAGGCACATGGGAAGCTGCCACCGCTAACACAGGTCCTAATCGGGAAGGGCCTGCAGCGGAAACTGCCGGAATGATGTTTAGGCGGGAATGGTGGGAATGGCGGGAATGGCGGGAATGGCACTATAGATGGCGCTGGCTATCCCAATTAGTAAGCCTAATTATGCCTGGTGTACACGTACCTTGCCAACTATATTTAGCTGTGGTAATACAGTAGTACTGGAGGTCACAAATGATTTAGGGCAATATTTATTGCTGGTGTTGGGATTTAACTACAAACAAGCCTAATTATAGTTGGCAAGGTACGTGTACACCAGGCATAATTAGGCTTACTAATTGGGATAGCCAGGTGCAACAGCAAGCAGCGATGTGTCACAAACTGTCACACCACGTGATTTACCTCTGCGCAAAAATGCATTTTTGAGGCCGTTTTCAGCTCGTTGGGCGGGTGTACCTTTGCAGTAGCTTCCGGGGGCCTACTGAGGTAGGTCATGATATATTCCCTAGATACGCCTGCTAATGCATGCTCCTCAGCGAGTACACAAGCAACTTGGAAATGCACAGGGGAAGCTCAAGAGGGCGCAGAGACATGCAGAGGAAAAATGACAGGCCAGTCAACAGACGGTTTAGCGACGAGAGAACGACAAGCAGGTGGAGGAACTCCAGATGGAAGCGGGCGATATAGAAATAAAGGTAGGTCTTGAGTCCTGGTCTCCTCACTCTTGCATCCTAATGGTCTTTCGCAGATGGCAGAGCATCTTAAGAAGAATGAAGCAGAGCTCAACGAGCTACTCACGGAATATTGGAAGCTCCGTCACGAGATGGGTAAATTTTTCACTCTGTCTTTGTATTCATCACTCAATGATATCCAGAGGTATACATGGAAACACTTGCAAACAAATTAAACATGAATGTATCTTCGGACTGAGTGTGCCTACCGGGCCCTCGCGATGCGTAGGTCAACTTGAATTTGTGGTACCTTATTAATTACGTGGTCAGTGGCAGAGGGGCACGACAAAATCATCGTTTTTTTCCCCTTTCTGTGTCATCTTTGGTGAGCAATTCTGGCATTACCATTTCTTCATTGGACTGGGGACCGCGCTAAGGCCAGTACACGGCAAGTGGAACTGAGAATGAGTTTTAGTTTACCGTCAGGGGAACACCTGGTCCGCTCACAGTCCACAAGCGATCATCCGGGATACAAGCCATGTGAACACCAATCAAGTGAAATGTGTAAGTCATTATGATTTGCAAGCAGATTTGTTTGTTCACAGTTTCGAACCAGAATAATATGCTGGTCTCCTCTGAATGCATGACCCTTTCCGCTTCAGATGGTCTGACACAGTTTTCGATGCAGGGTGTAGTATGCATTGGCGACTTTGGGCATACGCAGGTCCTAGACGAAGTGCTCGGGAGGGAAGGATTCACTGCTTATACTGGGTCCTCTAACATGCGTTGGAATGCCCCGGAACTCCTAGGTAGCGACGACATAAAGCCCACCAAAGCCAGCGACGTCTTTGCATTCGTAATGTCTATCCTGGAGCTTGTAACCAAGCAGGCACCACCCTATTCACACAGAAAACGTGATCTCACTGTCATTATGGACATCAGTGACGGTCGTTTACCCCTTCGCCCAACCGAGCCGGAAGATGTCTCGTGGTGGATGCATGATGAACCATGGGAAGTTTTAAACAAGCGTTGGGTATGTCATGGCTCAGGAGCGAATGAATATTGGAGAAATCAAAATCTTTCTTGAAAGATTCGCCAGTTACCTTGTGTATCATCCAAATTGGCAGACGGAAGAGGTTGATGTTGAGATTGTTCAGTAAGATGTCCTCCTTGCATATGTCATAAGCTACAGATGTACCTATGGTAAATACTTTATCAAAATAATCTCAGAGAGATCTGCGGCTTCATACTCTGCTGTACTGAGCCTGCCGCGCCTTTGACAACATTCCGAATCGACATCTTGAGCACTTCCCGCGCAGAGGGATCCAGCTGAGTAGTGGCCTCCTTGAAGGACGCAGGTGAGCTAGCTGCTAGGGAAAGCAAGTGTGCTATGTCACTAGAGTGTATCGTCGATGGAGGCATCTGAGATGGGCGTAGAAGTAACGTGATTGTTGGCAGCAGGACACTCAAGAGACGAGAACCTGCACAATTGAAGTCAGCTATCATGTGGTATTAAACCAAATTCTATTTGTGGGTACTGATACTGACATTGTTCATCCTTAGCCAACGAGACGAGTGTCGCAAATGTTTTTCAGACCTCGTCTATTGAGATGGCCTGCTGCTCTGACACTGTTCCTTCATCCAATCGAGGTACTATTTTGGCAACATATTGTATCAGTGCTGGAAGAAGCAGCCGAATGCAGGTTCAAAGAAGTTTGCTTTTAGACGCAGCGATTGCAAGGGTTTTTGGCGCAGTGAACAGCCACAATAGCCATCTGAAACACAAAGGCACTCAGCGACATGCATGGGATGTATTGAAGTAAAAGGATACCTGGTCTGCCTTCTTCGAGCTTTTGAGATATAAGGAAGAACAGGTGCTCCACACATGGTCAAGATGAGCACCGCCGCGAGAAGGTTAGTTTTGACTATTCTTGATGAAATCAAGCCTTCGCGTCCCCTGTGTGACTTTAGTCTCCCACAAACATGTAAGTATTTGCAAACCTTATTTTATCCATGTTCAAAAGACACAAGGTAAAAATCATTTTGCAATATCAGACACATCTCCCTCTGCAAGAACATGCATCGTATTATGCAACAGCGTAAAGGTTAACAGACTTACGAATCGAGAATGCTCCTGGATTGTGACGAGAGTGCCAAAGGATGTAGGCAAAAACCTTGAGACAATGAGTGTAAACCGAGTCTGGAGGAATGGTTGCGTTGCTCTGACTCTCCTTGCTGCTGGACTGCGTGTGAGATCCCATGAAGGACAATTTCTGAAAGACTCGCCTGAGATCACATATTGGCCGAAATGTTTGGCAAAAGTGGTTAGGACAGTGATCAAGTGAATGAGCACCTCTGCAGATTCTGTCATAGCTATTCGATGATTGAGACTCATGAATTCTTGAAAGATAGTAGGATCTGAAAGGGCTTTCCCTGAGTAGCGAGGGTCGAGAAGGCGTTTCAAGTGCTCCTAGGCAGGCGATCACTGTGTTAACTCGTGAGCTGGTGTCTGGCGAGGACGTCGCGAGTGCTTCATATATAAGGCCAAAGAGGGGGAAGAAAAGGGGTGCTGACCCTTATGTTGCGGAGTCGATACCATTGACAAATGTCCCCTCCTTCCCAAGGATAGCAGCTGAAATGTTTTGATCGGAGCGGTTCACAGTGTTCGCGACAGCTTGTAGGATCTTGTTGCCCAGGACGAAGCATGATACTGAAAAAGTGATATTCATTGATAATAATTGATCGATAGGATCGAAACTTACTGGGAGCAGAACTACTTAACCAAGGCTTGCATATGACGGGTCTAAAGCCACTGCTGACGCATCATGTATGAATTCGCAATCTGCTCGGATGACAGCATAATCACGAAGGCTCGCAAACCATTGCGGTGCCAAGATCGACCTGTATGGTTTGATGACATCCAAAAGGTATGTCTGTTCAAAACTAGCAATTTCCAGACGAGCCCACACAGAGAGGATAGAAACCCTCAACATGCCTGATGGATTCGGGGCTCAAGTCCACAAAATTGCCCATAGTTAAGTTGCCAGATTCTTGGAAAGTATGAATATCGTTGTAGATGAGATATTGGATATGCTTACCGTCAACCTCTCTGAGTGCTGTTGTAAGTTGTTTGAGAATTCTCCCCATCTGATTTACATCTTTGACAATGCCACAGCCAACGAATACTGCACAGGCTCGATGGCAGAAGACAAAATTTCAGGAGTGGAATCTGGAGAGAAGGCAGGAGTTAGTGCAGCTGTGATAGGTGCTTGATGTTGCTCAAGTAGGAGAGCGTCTGGATAGTCAGGGTCTGGGGCCTGGCAAAACACCTATTGAAATACTTATGAAAGGAAAATGGCAAGAATCACAGTGCACCTACCTGAATGACATCGCGTAATACGACCAATCCTTCTAGTCATATCTCTGTGACATATGCCGCAGAAGCTGTGAAGGCCATTTTGATCAAATCTGGAACACGAGACACAAGGAGGCCGTTCACTGGAATGCCCTGGTTACGAGCGAAAGGTATGTCGATGTATTCTCTGCGTCCAAAGCGCGCAACAAGTGTACACATCGCAGTGCAAATAGTTGCGTCCTCCAGCATGACGTAGCAGCCATTGCTAGGTTGCCTTGCCGTGTGTCATCGTTTGACATGGATGCACTCAACAATTGACCTTCGTCATCCATGAGACTGTTGGCTGTATTGACCACTTTCTGGGAAGCATTGATGCGCATCATAATCCTCTAGCAAAGGTCAATCCAAGTGAATGGATTGTGAATTACTGTCTGAAGTAGCCGGCTCGAAACTACGCTTCTGACTCAATCGATCGATGGGTCACCATCTAGCATGCCAAACAAATCCTCGACAAGGCGGTCTCCACCTAACCGGGACATTGCTAAAGCGTCTTCCTGCGCCAAGTGATAAAGGGCATCAATTGCTGCAAGTTTGAGGCATCTTCTAGGTGAATCAAGATGTCTTCTGAAACGATTCACGATCTCGGGGATGTCCACATGCTCAGGAGCAAACATAAGGAGATGTTGGATGAACCCTATAGCTTCTACTAGGACTAGTCCAACACCCGTTGTGCCTTCAGCACAGGAAGCCAAAAAGAGCGCTTCGCACTCTTTGGTGGCTCCCTGGCCTCGGCTTCATCTGAATTTTGTTGACATTTACTCAATTACTTAAAATCATGTTGGAACAAAATTTCGAAATAAAAATTTACATTTTTGAGCACGTTGTTGGCAATCATAAAGTAAAAGTACAAACTACTACACTGCAATAAAAGTACACATCACATCAGTCGGTTCTCTATATAAAAGTACATGCGATTTCAATCTGTAAGTCCTCTAAGCACTTCCGTATACACTACATTTGTTGTGTTTGAGCCTTCTTCATTCTCCGGGAAGATAGCATACACTCTCTCCGGATGAGTGCAGCGAGACAATGCAACATAAAGCTGACCATGACTGAACACAGGAGTCCGCAAATTCAGCCCAACCCACTTGACACTTTGACCTTGTGCTTTGTTGATCGTCATTGCGAAAGCCAGGCGAACAGGGAATTGGCGACGCCTGAGGGGAATATGATTTTCTTCAGGACTGGCCTCCAGGCTCATGCGAGGGATCAGGACCGTGTTGCGGTCATCATGGCGAGCTTCATCAACACCGTCCCTCAGAATGCGACACCTAAGGACGCGCGGGGTCCAGGAAAGAAGGATCATGCGGGTTCCATTATAAAGCCCTTCAGAGGGATTTAAATTGCGCAAGAGCATCAGGGGAACACCTGCTTTGACCTCCAATCTGTGCAATGGGAAGCCTGATGGGATGAGTGTGTGAAGGAATTCGGTGGGAATGTAATCATATTCTGTATCGGTGACTGAGTCTGCGCTGGTAAAGACTGCTTTTTCTCCAGGGAATGAATTGAGAATAGCGGCATTGATTTCATCCACATCGGTGTTTTTTGCGGAAAGGATGGTGCGTTCAAGAAAGAAAGAATCATTCATAGGAGGATGGCCAGGGAGCAGAATTGGAGCATATAGGGCATTGATGAGGGACTGTATGTCGTTGTTGCGACAGTGCATACGAATGGGGAGGGTCACAGTTCCATCTCCATCTGTGCCCTTGCCAGCTCCAATCTCAAGGAGCCACTTTGCAAATTCGTCAGAGGCAGGGTCTTGACCAAGACGCATATTTCTTTTGAGATGGAAAATGCGAAGTTTGGGCCAGAGGCGAGATCTGCAAAATGTAGCACCCACTATTTGCTCCCTGGATCCATGGGGCACCACCGGCAGGGTTTGCCTAAAGTCTCCTCCAAAGAGCATGGTTATTCCTCCAAAATCAGCATCTACATCCAGAAGATCACGCAATGTGCGATCAAGGCATTCCAGTATATGCCGGTGCAGCATCGGAATTTCATCGCAAATGATTAGCGAAGTTGCCTTGAGAAGCTCGTGATTGACATCGTTTTTCTTGATGTTGCATGAGCTGTCTTCGTGAATGGGAATTGGTATTTTGAATCGGGAATGAGCTGTACGTCCACCTGGGAGGAGGAGAGAAGCGATTCCAGAGGAAGCCACACATAAGACTATCTTTCCTTCAGCACGGAGTTTTGACGCAATAAGCTTGCAGAGATATGTCTTGCCACATCCGCCTGCACTGTGGACGAAATACGCATGTCCGGGTCTATGCTCATCACGACTCATTGCATCATTGACTACAGCATCAAAGACCACCCTCTGCTCAGCGTTAAGCGAAGGAACTCCTTCATCCACTGTCTGCTGAAGCTCCACACGATTGTACTGGAGCTGCTCAGCAATGAGCAGGTTGCCCTCCATTTCCCCCCATCTTGCTGCCATTTGAGACACGGGCATCGGAGGAAAAGCATTCAAAGACTTTCCATTTTTGCGAAGTACGCAGTCAATGAGATAGAGACCATAGTCATGAACCTCTTCCTCTGAGGGGTTAGGAATGTTGAATGGAAGTCGAGTGAGACGGTGACGCAGATCGTCGCAGAGGTTATCTTTGAAGCGGTTCCAAAGATCATCAGGGCTTGTAGGATTGCAGTGTGTGAGGATGATGGCAAACAGATTGCGCATGCGATGTCCTGTACACATATGAGAGGCATCCTGCAAGCATTGGATCCATTCATTGTCGTCATCGAGCAGACCCCTACGCTGACATGCACTCTTGAAAGTCTCACAGACAATGTCATTGACGGTACGGAGGTTCTCATATGATGTCGCGCCTTTAAAAACATAATAAGTTAATTGATTTTATCCATCACAGACAACTCACCTTTCACTACAGTCAAAAGCAATCTGAGATAGAAGTGTTCGCCAGATCCGGGTGCAGCAGAATACATCCTTCCGATAGCCACTCCACGCTCACGAATCTTCCAGGCAGTCCTGTTCTTGACCCACACAAATTTTGAGGGGAAATTTTGATAAAGGCAGTCATGGGCTCCAGCTGCCACCAAGTCTTCATTGGCATTGGCTTTGAACCATCCAGTGAGGCAGGTGTCTCTGGCTGCTGCGCGCTCAAGAACATCCTGGGCGTTATCATCAGGGTCATAGAACACCATCTGTTCATCTGGAAGGTGGACTGGCAAGCGAATTACAGAGGGCCACTCAAGATGCATGGCAAATTCAAATATGCGCCATGCAGCCTCAGTTGAGCTGATATACCTTGAGTCAAGATATAATTTGATCTCATCCTGCCCCGACATCTCCAGAGTAGCGCGATCATTTCCTTTGTATATATACTTGTGTATATATTTGACAGATTTGATTGAAGCACAGACCTCCAGATTTATGTGGCAGTTGAATTCGACCAGCAGCTCTGGGGGATGGGGAACAACATCTTTGTTGGTGAAGATGGTGTCATTCTTTTGGATGGTGCGACCATTATCCGGTCTTGCATACTCCGGATAGCCATCATCTCTCAACAAAGTCTGAGGACAGAAAGACTTTGGAAAGTGCTTTTTGCACCGTCCATTCTCCAGGCAACGCTCTGGAGTGCACGGACCATGCAGCACAAATTTTTCCACAGCTTGGTAGAGTCGTGGATGAACATTTCTGTCAGGAATTTGAGCAGAGATAAAGGCGTTCACTTGCTCCACCGTCCTGATCTTATATTCTGCTTCCAGGAAGATGAGGAGGTGCATGTGCGGCAGTCCGCGCTTTTGGTATTCAATGGTGTATACCAATCCTGCAACCTTTCCATAGTAGCCTTCGCGAACCTTCTTCAGGAGGGCCTGCTGCTTCTGATAGAATACGCGAGCCACCAAGTCTGGACGGTCCACGGCACTTTGTCCTATGTATGAAATTGTCAGAAATGAAGGATGCATCAAATATATATATTTTACCTGGGAATAGATTCTCTGTAATCTCAGGCCAGCTTCCATTGGCAGTCATCGTTAGAAACAGATCTGGTTTCAAGCAGAAATGACAAATGGCCAGAGAGTCTTGCAGCATCTGGTACATGTGCCGAGGGCCTGAACTGAATGAAGAAGGAAGAATGAAGAAGCCGCCTGTCTGAGCCAAATCATTCACACCATCATTGAGAACGTTGTCTGTCAGACCTCGGTAGCAGTCAGCCCTGAGCCGCGTTTGATTGTGCCGGATCCAGTTCAAATTGTTTTGCTCTATTGAGGCCCAAGCATCGACCACATACTGTTGGAACAGTCTTCCACCACGAAAGATGTTGTTGTGCTCCATGCGATTGTTGTGGTCCATGCGAGCTGGGCGAAGATGAATCCGGTAGGCATAATAAAGCAGCTGAGTCACTTTTTTTGCTCGTCGATTCCCCTGTTGATTGACATTCAGAGGGATGTCAATATGCCAGCCCTCCTCGCCAGAAGGAAACAGGAGAACATAGTGAAGAGTCGAATATGCGTGGCTCAGCTGGCTGATGCGCTCGAGTCGACCGCCTTGAAGTCGCAAGATAATATCTCGTTTGTCAGACACCTCCTCAGACCCATCTCCAGGAATGATCACGGCAATTTCATCGGCAGTAGGGACATTATATCTTCGGCCATCTGTGCCTTGCCTGAAATGAATGCGTGCACGAACATCTGTCTGTTCCTCTGGAGCCTTCTCTCTCATAACTTGATAGGCTTGCTTGTACAAAGGAGCATAGAGATGATTTCGATACAGCATGTCATGGAGACTCCTGAGGATGACACGGTCAAGACCCTCATTTCCTGGTCGGGTGGCGCGAATGTCGGTGGCTTCTGCAGAGTCATATATATAACTGTGCATATGAAGGTTGAACACCTTCTGGAGGTAAGAGGCTACCCATCAGATGGTGCAGGGACCCATGGATACGAAAAGCATTTGGTCCAGAGCCTTGAAGAGCGCGATCTTCGATGTTGACACCCACGGATGTGAATGCGAGAGCGCTATTGTACCGGCGGATATTTGAGACAAATGTTCGGTCCATATATGCCTGCTGCAGCTCGCGCGGCCATTGAGGGAAAGGGGGAAGGTTGACTTGGCCCTGCAAGCAGCACATACCAAACCGTGGACTTCGAATGGATGACTTGGAGAGTTTCTCAGATATAAAGTGGTTCACATGGCAATTGGGACACTCTACGTCAAGGCGACCCAGATAATGGGGATTGATAGGTTCCCTGTATGGACGGCCTCCAACAGGAATAGGAACCACCTGGTTGATATGCTGCTGGTCCTCTTCCTCGCGCTCCTCCCTATCAGCCTGAAGTCGAATTCTTCTTCTTTCCTCGTCATCGTCATGATGTTCCTGAGATGCTGGAAGATTGTATTCACGCATGGCCTCCTGCTGACGCTCCTGCTGCTCACGAATTCTTTGAGTCCGGCGGCGCTGATCTTCCTCTTCCTGTTGCTGCACTCGCAAAATATCTCGATTCTGTCTATTGATGTGTTCAGCTTCGTGCTGCTGCACTTCCAGAGCATACCGAGCATCTCTATTAATGTGCTCGACTTCTTGCTGCAGAATCTGCTGTCGACGAAATTCCTCCTGTGCTTGTCTCTGGAGCAAATGATTTCTAATATGCTCTACCTCCAAATGAGGGACATTTACAGGAGGGGCAGGAACATGAGGCTGCTGTGGGGGATGTGCGCCAGCTGCCCTGAGCTCATCTTGCACCTCCTGTCTTATTTCATCCCTATCCTGATGCCGACGAAGATTGCGCAGACGGCGTCTGTCATTATGAGCAGCATTCATTTGCTCATTCAAGCGCACATTATAATCAATGCGAGGACGATGAGCATGCTGCACATGCGCAATTGCATTTCGTGGCAAACCGGGATATTGCTCAACCGGTAAAGGAATGTGGGGGAAATTTGGAGGAGGATGCCATTGCGGAGCAGGTCCTGCTTGCAGCAAATTAGCTGGCATGAAATTTGGCTGTGGTACGGGAGGCAGAGGCCTGTCCTGATTTTCACAGGCAGCATGGCGGCGGTTCCGTCTACCGGGAGACGTCATTTGAAGGCGATTAAGCCTATCACGCTCCCGTTGAGACTGCCGATCGCGCTCCGGTATTATCTGTTCTTCAATTCTAAATGGCCCAAAGTGACGTGCAGACATTAGCACCTTACACAAATAAAATAGTCAGCAACTCACGGTAAAATTTCGTTTGGGTTCATTGTTGAAACCGTTGTTTAGCAAGCGCAATTAAAGTTGAATCGAGTTGGCTGAGCTCATTAATCGAGTCAGATTATTGCGTACTATCAATTTCATTATGAAAAGACCCACAAATGATGTAATACACTTTATTACACTTGGCTGCGGGGGAAGGCAATTACTCGAGAATGTATTCAAAAGCAGCAGCCAAGTTTTGTAATGAATTGTGTAATGAACAGTGCGATGACACGTTTGTTTATGCTTTTGCTATTGAATTGTGATTCAAAAGCAATTGTGTAATGGTTTGTGTTGTCACACGTTTGTTATGCTTTTGTTATTCTCGTTGCCTGTATTCCCCTATGAGAGGAAAATTGAGCTATTTGTCCGTGTTGTCCCCCGCGCGCAGTAGGCGTGCGGATCACTGTCCACTATATCGCGTTTTGCAGTAAATTCGGACTTGGTAAAATTTTTACTCTCAAAATTTCAAAATTTCATAGGTTTCGTAGTCACAATTCACAAATTTCATTACGTTCATTATGTCAACGTTACATTCATTAGCTTAAGTAATAAAGTTGTGTCTCTCGAAATCTCAAATGTCATTTGTCATTTTGTTCACCTTTTCACATTTCACTCTTGCCACGTGAGATTTTTAGCGAGCTAAGCGAAAACACATGGCCTAAGCGCAAACCACGCGAGAAAGTGACCTAACCGGGACATTGCTAAAGCGTCTTCCTGCGCCAAGTGATAAAGGGCATCAATTGCTGCAAGTTTGAGGCATCTTCTAGGTGAATCAAGATGTCTTCTGAAACGATTCACGATCTCGGGGATGTCCACATGCTCGGGAGCAAACATAAGGAGATGTTGGATGCACCCTATAGCTTCTACTAGGATGGGATCATCATCTTCCACCGAAAATTCGTGGACAAGGTCAAGTACAATTGTCCTCATCCTTGGAGAGTTGTGAATGTCAGGGCCAAGGATAGTAATGATCGCATCCACAATATAGCAGACAAGGGGGTAAGCTTGTAAGTCACTACTGATATTGGCATTATTCAGGGTCCCTCCCTTGACTTCGTGAGCGTGTGATAGGTATATTTTGAGCAGCTTCCAAGGGTGCTTGACACGAATGGAGTGAAGGCCAAACTAGCGGCGTTAATGACATATCCCAGTGCACAGAGGGACCAGAAGTGGAATAACGGGTGAAAATCATTGCTCAATGACATGAGAAGATTCACAGTTGTTTTTAAGATGGGGGCTGATCTTCTCTCTCTCTCTCGATTCTTTGTGTCACCCACCCTCCGCTTCCCTTTTGTTTAGTGTCTTGGTGTTTTGGGTTGTGTCGTTCCCAAAAACAGTTCCCCATTACACCTCACACTCAAGAGTTTGGTTGCTAACATTCTGCCGCTGAGTTTTCCGCACTGCGTCAGCTTCAATACTCTCGGTATGCTCTTTGGTGTTTTGCTCACTTTGATGCACGTCACATCTCGGATCTTTTAAATCACGTGATTCGCGACATGACTTCCTTTCACCAGACACCAAACATATACCCTGGAGTCGCAGCATTATGTGCATTCGTCGAACAACGAATCACGCTCACCAGCTAAAAACACCGCCGCAGCCAACCCCTTCCCCGCCAACTGGCAAAATACATATTCAGAATTTCCTGGCTCATAGCATGAACCATGGACATTACGATTGCTATTAACCAAGGACGCCGCAAGTCCACCGACGTGAAGCGCACAGCCAGCTCGTCCTTGGGGTGGCTTACAATGTGATCGACCAATACCTTGGTCTGACTCGTCAAACAGGAGCTTCCAGATATGTAGGCAAGACCCCCAATGGCCTCGCTGCTAGCAGATCTCAGGGCGGGGTCACCATCCACAAGAGCATCCTGCAAGTGGAATTATAAACTTATAGGCAAACCACAGTTTGAAATGTAAACTTACGTTCAAAAATGCTCCAAGAGCTGAAGTGACTTGAGAGTGGCCAAGAGTATCCTTGGATAATCGGATTGACGATGATACAAAGTCATGGAGACACGCAAAGTTCGTATGATGGCTTCAACACTATTCAACATTACGGCGTCTCTCTTCCTAGCATTCTTGTCAACCTTCGAAGACCGATTGGACTCTATCAAGTGACTAATTGTGCACAGAGTAGTACTTAGATCCTGGGCTGGCAACAACTGAGAGAATAATAGTGGTGTTACAGACTGACAACACAGGTGGTGGGGGCATTGAAAGACTGACTGTCATCTTCTGATGGGTTTATCATAGAAAGAGAAAGTGTATCATGCTCACAAGCTCCTAGTACCGGCTTGAGCAGTCAGATGCGTAGATCAGCATTGGCAGGGAGACCCACAGATGATAATACCTTACCAGGGCACTTATTGAGTGTTCTATGCTATCGCTGTTAATGTGACCTCGGCGAGGACTTTCAGACGTTGTGCTTTGGTCGATCCCGTCTTCAGATATTTCGAGTCACGTAGTAAGTCCATATGCATAATGGTAACTGAAATATTTACAAGATGATTAATTAGCAAGTATTGTACATCATACATACCTTTGCACACCTAGCCTCCTTTGTCAATTTGAATAATAATTATATACATTGGACAGATTACCAAGTATGACATTTAAGTGAAGAGATTATCATCCGTTTCGTGCGATACATTACTTTATAACTACACTATGGAAAGTCAGACACTTAGGCAATGGTAACTGAAATACATGGGAGATAAATTGTATTACAAAATTTAGGTGCTTTGAATATAATTATCTGTATGGAGCTTGTAGCCCACATGTATCAGTGTGGTGTATGCTACCAGAGCCTGCAAGTCATGTAAATGTGTCCCCAATTACGGGTATTGTTGTCCTTGAGATGGCAAGCATACCTAACTTTCAATACTGTGGCATCGCGCACAACTCGCTACATGAAGTCCCACATCTATCATATTTTTGTTGACTACTAGATACCAAATGAGTGACGAAGGTGGGTCATTTGTCTTGATCATATAATAGTGCAGAATGTCTGAGCATATTGTCTATTGCAGGTCTTAATGTCAAATATTGCTGATGGTACTAGAATCTCACTCGGCAATGCATTATGAAAAATTTTAATCATTCATTATGTACAACGTAAAATTACATACAGCTAGCAGTTTAACATTTAACATTAAGTACTAACCAAACTTAGCTACATCTACCGCCTGGCCAAAGTCATGGCAACCGACATTTTGTTAGCATGCTGCGGGCGATAATCGGAAACAAATATTCTACCGAAAACCTTTGTAAAAAAACGAAACTGAAATGAATTAATGAAAGATGGTGATGCCCAAACTACTCACTGATTCCACCACAGTAAAAGGTCGTCAACATCTTTCGTGGCTTCTGGCGACGGAGGGAGCTCGAGATAATCCACTATATTGTCATAGAACTCTTGATGGTTGAATTCATCGTCAACGATGCGCCAAGATCCCGTGCTCGATCGCCACTGTTCTTGTTCCGTACAGAACGAGCTGTCGAGTCAGCAGGTTGTTCCTCGTATGTGGAAGTTGGACAGGTGAACATGCGTTTAAATGCCTGGAGACTGCATTCAGTATGCTTCTACCAAATATGATAATTTTACCTTTACAAGTAGTTTGCCTTTAAACAAACCATTGGTAGGATTCTGGGGGTCATAGCATCCATCCTCGTACAGGAATGATGGCCAGGAGCAAGCTGGTGATACGAAAATCAGGATGGTAGTCTCGAATGGAGGCTCGAACACTTTGAAGACATAGTTAGTTATGGCGCAGGTCAGAAAAGAGCCCTTACGTGGGATTGCTCCAGTCATAATCAACTGGGCACAAGAGTCCACCCGTCACGTCGTTGTAGAACCCCCGACCAGACTTATCTTGTCTGTGAATGGTGGGATTTGGTGTGGGAGTGCGTTCCATCAGCCAATTGGCGACAGCGCACTTGAGACTAGCAGAGTCGTCTCCTCTGGCCCCATCAGAACCTTCATTCAGCTGGATGCGAGATACAGTCACATTTGGTCAATAAATTGTTTCAGTAAGTCTCACCTTGTTGTATGCAAAAGCAAGAATTTCATGCTCGGCTGATGACCGTAGCAATTTACGAGCCGAGGGACACCATACCATAAGTTTCTTGAAGGAGCGATACCACCTATTTTCACTGGAACATGGCCTGAGGGCTAACCAGTAAAAGTTGTGAAGATGTACTTACTCTAGGTCATCTGAATCCATTTTGTCCGCGTCTGATTCATTGACAGCGCCCAGTCCAATGCGCCTATTGAATTCTGCCACCAGATCTTCAACGCGCTCAGTCAGACAAACGAGCCTTTGAATTGGTCGACCATAGTATGCATTCGATTCACTACTTTGATTTTTTATCAACTTGTTGTGCCACCATTTTAAACACCAGACGTACCTTTTCTTCCCAGGGAGCCCACGGACTCGGAGGTCTGCATTTTCTTCCTCGAGTGCTGTTACAGTAACGTTGCCCCCTATTCATTTTCCTTATCCCCATGGACTTACGGCCGTGTTGCCTTGTATTTGTATAGCCTCGGCTATATCTTATCTCTTATCTGGTGACTCCGCTTATCTCTGACTTCTTATGACTCCCTCTTATCTGGTGACTCCCAACCCTTGGACCTACGGCTGCGCTGCCTTGTACCATATCAGGCTATCACCTGCCTTTCTTGGACCTACTGATACTTGACGACCTTGCCCTAAAGTCATTCCATACTCCTATATATACTCGTCATGTATCACTGTTGTTCTTCACTTTAATCTACTTGGTTTTACCCTTGAAACCAGATCCTCACTTAAGCTTCACAACTTAAGTGTCTATCCCTGAATTCTATCTTCGAGCACTCCTCGTCGATAGCCTTGATTATCGTCTGTCTTGCAAGGTGCCAGCCCTTGAAGACTGAACCCTTGATCCTACCTCAGAGGTGCCAGCCCTCTAGATAGGCCACAGATCCTTCTCTTGTTTGAGAAGAGGAACTCCTTACACGAAGGCTCTCTTTTGAGCTTGTAAGGCCGAACCCATCCAAGTTCGTAACAAGTGCAGCGATTCGTCGTTTGAGAGCAACTAGAGGTTGAATCTCGTTGTCTGGTTCAGATGGAGACGGAGATGAGGTTGCCATTGCGCTGTGGATGAGAATGCCAAGTGGGGGCTTAGGAAAGAGGTATGATGGTCAATTTAGCTGAGGAAACATAGCGGAAATGAAACACAGACCTTGAGACAGCTAACTTGTTGGGGATCCTTAGCATGGACCCCACACAACGTCATGTAGGATTATCGGCTCCGTACATTCTTTGACGTTGCAACCCTGCATGAACGGCACATACACCACGTAAATATTGACTGAAGGTGACAGGGTCGGTTAGTTGTTAGTAGAGTTTGCTCCAAGGTGAATTCTGTCGATCATGCGACAGCAATTACATAACACGTGGCAGTCACCTTTAGTGAAACAGAAGGTGAGGATGATACCCCAACCATAGGTCCGCGTACTATAGCCCCAGAAATGCAAACTACATGCCATCTATACTTACCAACTTGGAGCTCGAGACTGACCCCAATGTCTCTTATCCTTCCATTGATGATTTTCTGGCCAAAATTGACAAGGCAGAGCCACAGCGCGGGTGGATCGAAAAGTTCCTCCGTCCGCTCACTTCACTGGGGGTTAGGACATTAGACAACATAGAAATCATATCGCCTGAATGCCTTACCATGTTTCACCGCCTCTGTCCCCTGATGGTTATGGACTTCTTTGTCCACATCACCAGTCACCTCAACAAAGCCAGCCATTTGGCACACCAGAGCTCTAGGCTGTAATATGGAAAGCGGTTGAGAATAGTAGGTGAGCCCGTCCAGTAGAAAGTAAACCCTCACCATTAGCAACCTATCTGCCGTAGTTTCCACACGCTGGAGTAGATGCCTTCGAGAGACAGGAGTCGATTCTTCAGCCATCATATGTATAAGGCCTCCAGGTTCTTGCCATAATTTGCGAGGTGTACTGTCAAGTGTAAGATGTATTTTAGTACCAGTTGTATTGAGAGGCCTTGAGCCGTAGCACTTACGATTCATGGCTCCATGGGCACCACTGTTCGCTTACTGAACAAGCACAAGGAAGGACCATAATGCAAGCGTTCCATTTTGACCGATGAGTGATGCCCACATGTTTGACCCCCCGAAAGCTGGGATCCCTTGCCACCGACTTCAGTATTAAATCCACTATTATAATCATGTCAATTGCCTCGAGTTCGCATGGTATCAAAGTCTTACTCTGGAAGCGATTGCTCAGATTCTGATTTGGAGGCACTGAGCAAGATATTCGCAGGCAATCTGAGCAGAGCTTTCATGTGTTGACTTGTTATTTTGACCTTTCAGAACAATGACTTGCTAGAAGGCGTTTAGCACGACGGGAGCATAAGATACAGGTCACGTACCAAACGTTTGAAGCCAGCGGACACCAGAACGGGGATGCATGCTGAAAAATGATGAGATTTATAAGAGAAAGGCTTAAAATCAGGAATTGAGACGCACTCATACCGACAAGAGCCGGCTTCCAAGCATATACAAGGACGATGATCAAACCACCAAGTATAGTTGTGAAGGACTGGACAATCCTAACCAAAGTCAGTATGTCATAACCTCAGGAGGACTCGTAATACGCATGTTCCCAGAGTTATGCCAGCGAGACCATTGATCTTCTGGGGGTTTTTGCCCAAGCTTGACGTCAGAGCGCCAGTCTTTCAAATTCTGATAAGAGTTGTGCTCGAGCTGGAGAGTTGCATGACTCACATTGTTCTTGTCGGTATCAAAGCACTCGACTGGTTCCACACATTAGAAAAACAATTTGGAAATAAAGGTACTCACTGTCTTGCCGGAGGAAGGCTTTGAAACTCATTGAATGGTGCTCGGAAATCAAGTCAGCGGAAGAAGAAGAAGAAGAAGAAGAAGAAGAAGAAGAAGAAGAAGAAGAAGAAGAAGAAGAAGAAGAAGAAAAGAAACAGACCCGGGAACCAGTACAGCAGTCATACAGAATGGCGAAAATGAAAAAACCTGGCTTGAGATAAGCACCAGCACAAACTCTAGGGAAACAAGTGAACTCAACCAGAGAGTATTCTGGTCGCCTTGGTAGTGGCGGACGGAACTTGTGGTGGTGGGAAAGCCGGAGATCACGTGCCCTACCAGTGCATGTCAGGATAAATGACATCTGTTTCATTTGACGACAGGACTTACCATTGGCGGGAGACATGAAGGATATAGCTGGGCTGTGTAAGGTCTGCATAGACATCCCCCCAAAGTCCGCCAAACACATTTAGGCTGATAGCAGGGATGGCAGGAGGGCTTGACAATGGGCAGGATAGGGGACAGCAGGAAGGGCAGAGTTGACAGCGGTTGACAATGCATTGACAAATAAAGTCGCACAAGGCCACGTGACACGTGGCAAAGCTTGAGGGTGGGTTTAGTATTTACTGTTGTTGAGATTTCATACTATCGTCGTGCTTTTGGATCGTTTGATGTCAATGTGCGCGTCTCAATGCACGGATGTGTAGGCAATCAAAAATGTCTTTTTTTCGTTATCGGACGTGACAATTTTCCTGGTCCAATCTGGGAAACTAGTTCTCACTGCCAAACACAAATGACATGCCCACCACCTCCAGCACTACTACTACCTCGTCCACCTCCTCAACTCCAGTCCCACAAACTGTGTTGTCCACGGTCAGTGTCTGGCCTTTAACACACACACACATATATAATTTATCATTTAATAGGCCCCTGTAGTGGCAGTCACTCCGCACTCTACCTCCACGTTCACATCACAAACTAAATTCGTGATCAGTACCGGATCCATCGCATCCGCAACTCCTTCTTCGACTGTTAGCTCTTCAGGCTCCGTCAACACTGCTGCAGTCATAGGTGGTATCGCTGGCTGTCTCGCCGGTTTGGCTGTGTTGGGTTTCCTCATCATGTGGTGCATTGTATGTCTCACTTTTGAACATCTGTTTCATGTTCTCAATTCAAATTCCAGCACCGCAATCGCAAGTCTGATGAAGACGAATGGAGCGCTTCAGTCTTCAAACGTCAGTCTGCCATCCTTGTGGATCCCGAACCATCCTTTAATCCCCGCCCACCAACCATGATCGAATGTCACAACGCATCCCCTGCCCTCAATGCTAAACACAACTATCAGAATTATTATGGTGGTTATGGTCAAAAAGCTGCCTATGGTGATACCTTGCATACTCCCCCCCCGGCACAGTACATGTACAGCTAGGTACAGCTCTTCCTTCATATGCCGACTGCATAGTATTCTCGAAGTCTGTCTTTCCCTGCTCTCATCACCCCATTCGTTATCGACATGGATGCAGCATCCGACCCATGGTAGCATACCCTCAACGCCCCGTCTGCGATGCGAGCAGTAAAGGATATAATGTTCAGTAGCGTGCGTTTCCCAGATTTTCTCAAGCCAAAAGACTAACAATCAGTTCCTGTGACACAGTTCGCAGGCATGGTCTCCAAAGTTGAGCACCCATTCGACTTGACAAAAGTGCGATCGCAATGTCAAGTTATCGATACCATCGCTAGATTCAGTGGACCAACAGACTGTCTCGTTCAACCATGGAAAGACGAAGGCTTCAGAAGGCTTTACCGCGTACGTGGTCTCCTCTCAATAGAAATTCTTTCTTGTCGGCGTGAACTCATACCGCTCGTAGGGTCTTCCGGCGCCAATAGTGGCTGCCATGCTGAGAATGCCTCATTGTTCATGCATAACCTTCTCCTCACCGCACTGCATTTGTAAAGCCATCTTGAGTTTCAAGTACTGCTTTCTTGGACAGACACGCTAGCCTGTGTGTGACTGTATTTAATCATACTTCTCCCTGACTTATATTCTTATGCTTTAGGCTAACGCTAATGTCCTTGGAAGATTCGAAAGCTGTTACCAGGCCTGCATTTCTCCCACAGATTAGACAGCGTTTCCAGACCCTCATATGGACTTGTCTCGATTTCGACCTTGTCAGATCTGCAGCTTTCTATGCGGAACTTTACCTTGTCATGGACGAGAACAATCATGACACGCGTCAACTTCATGCCGTAGCAAACCCCAATACATGATATGGCGGATCAACTGTCAGCCCATGTCACATGATCTTTAGTTACCTCATTTTGCATTAGCTGGTGCAGGCACAGGCGCCATCACCAGTTTCATACTGCAAGTCACCCACACCTTGTACAAAAGTTGTAATTAATTGTTGTTTTCAACTAGCACACCCGTGGAGCTTGTAAATGTAAAATGCAAGTGCAGATGATCACTCCTGGCCGCTTTCAGCCTCAATACATGAATCCACCGCACCAGCAGCCCTAAAATCATGCCTTGGACCCATTTCTCGCCCTGTTCCCGGTCCTATAGCCATTCTCAGGAAGCAAGTTTCCTCGAGCAGTATAGGAGTTCATTTTGTCTTGGCGCAGACCCTCCTACCGAACGTGTTAGCCACTCATAAGCGTGTTTGTAGGATAAAAAGACATACCTTGTGTACTAGTGCGTCTCCAGTCTACTACTTGATCAGCGCCCTTCCAGAGAGACATGTCATCACCTCAAAATTCACCCCAGGCAGTGGGAACTTGAGATGCCAGCACGATGCGAGAGTCGCTGAGGGAATTAGACTCCAAAAATATTTGGACTGCGTCAATATGTTCGGAGATGCGAAACACAACTACTTGAAGGTGTGACAAAGTGAGAACGGAAGCCACTAATTCTGGCTTAGTCCTCCGTGTATGGATATGTAAGCACAAGCGTGTCAGTCCATGAAGATACTCCAGATCAACTGTGGAGTTCCATAACACCCATGCATTGAGAATTTCAAGATGTGTCACTGTACTGAAGGCCTTGAAGGTGGAAAGAGAGACAAATTGGGTGTGATTGAAAATCAAGGATATACTAAGCGACAATGATGTTAGGGGGAGGTCATTTAAGGGCCGCAGCAGAGGATTTGTTGTTCTGTTGAAGTCTGATGGTGCAATCCATAATGCAAGATTGGTGGTACCGCTGCACAGGGAAAGGATATCTGCAGCTGTACTCAGAAGTACATCGCCCTCAATGCACAGTGATTGCACAGCCCCTCGAGTGAAATCACTGCAGCGCTGGGACCAAATACGAAGTGATGAAAGAAAGGAGATAGCAATGGTTTCATTTGGCAGAATGATTTTTTGATAAAGCAGCCTTTCAGTCCTGCGATAGTAGTACTCAGTAACTCAGCATTCGGTGCTTTGGAATTGCTCACCAATGACGTACCCGCTGTGAAACAAACAGAAGGGAGTAAGCTTGCTGTATGCAATCAATAGCGAGAATGATAATTTCTTTCTCGAGTTCGAGTGGCAACACTGGCACTGGCATGAGTACAAGACGATGATGGGGAAACTAGAAAATGTCTAGCCTCAAGTTCGGGTACTCGGATCTCGAATCATTGAGCCTGTCCCATTGCAGGGCCGAAGTCAGGATGATTTTGTTAGACATTTCCGGCGATTACTTACAGTATGAAACTACCCTGAGTCTGTTGACGGGACATCTGACCGGCGGTGGGACCTCTAAACTATGTTTTAGTCAAAATTATTTTCGCTGCACATGGGTCTAAACCCTCGGTGTTTTTGGACTGAGCACTGGAATGTGGGGTTAAGGAGTCCGAGTAAGTTCCAAGCATTTTAACCCTGACACTGATACACTGAGGCAACGACACGCCGATTTTACACTAAACCTTACATGTTTGTATCCGGGGTAAAATAAAAGTCATCGCGACTGATCTCGAACATGTGGCAGGTTGGAGTCCTCTACCATTGCTGACAAGAACATTCACACCCTGTCCACCCATGCAATATCCAACATGACGGATGAGCCGCGGCGTAGCAGCATGAAAACCTCCAGGAGAATTCTGCAGTTTCTGAAGGACAGATTCAGGAGTATGACTTGTGGAGCGTGGCTTAGCATGACTCACCACACCAATGACATAGCATGGAAGCAATACCAGTCTCAGTGTATCGGATCTTGCGGAGATGTTGCTGGCAGAAGTTTAGAATGTCAGAGTTGCAGGGCCAGAAAAAATGAAGGTTCAACTGGTGGTAAACCAATATCGCTGGCACCAGTAGAGGGAAAGCTTGCGACGCATCATTAATTACTAGTAATGGTCATGGGATCTGACTCACATATAAAATTATCAGCAGGTGTTACACACCGGATGCATTTAGTTGGTGTTGACGGATCATTTGAGTGGCATCAAGTACCACGGAAGGGCTGCAGACATTTAGGTTGTTTCCCCACTTAGAACTAGTAGTACTCAACAATCAGCATTTGATGTTCAACCCTAGCCTAAGCCATTTTAATGACCGCACTTGTGTCAAAATTCGAAATTGAGTCCATCTTGACGCTATATCATAAGTGACGGGTCTCTCGGAACTTGACAACAAAATTTCGGGAGCCCGTGCACATTAGAATGCAGGGTCAGGGAGAATCCAAGAAGAACTTCTGTATCAGAGCAGGGTTAGCCGTCTTTGTGTGAGTTTGAGATGAGGAGTGGATTGAATTTAAATACCTTACTCTCCAACTTGAAGGGGGACACAAGCGAACATGTTGTCTGATGCAGATTCTGAGACTAGTATTGACTCACGCTCCTCTGGCTTTAATGATGGAGCCGATGCTATCATCTTGATGAACACTGAAAGTGCAGGCAAGGATGACCATCACTCCACATCAAGAAGATCTACTCCACAAAGTCACAAGGACTCCTGCCCTGGCCCTGGCCAGTCGCATGGGCAAGGTGGTCCGGTGTATTCCTGCGGGTGCTATACGTATGGTGAGCGTTGCAGGTTTGAGTCACTCATATCCTGGCCGAGTAACTCACGGACTGGCTAAAACAGAACATCTAGCACCCTGAGGGGGTGACCTGAAGGACATCCGCTGGCAGGCTTGGTTTGCTGACCTTGACTCAGACTCGGACGCAGACTCGGACTCGGATATCGAGATTTTGCTGGAACACCCGAGTCTAAAGTGAAAGAGGTCACAGGGCAACTTCAAGGATGTGAGTATATGTAGCTGTATCTTTCAAAATTATGCACTTACTGTCACGTGGACGCTCTGCACAATTTGGGTCGGGACTTCACCAACAGGCAGAAAGGAACACAAACCCGGAAACCCATCTCGGATGAGCTCAACAAGAGATTTGAGAACCTAGCTATTGAAGTTGCAGGTGTGTTAGAAGCCATAAGTAGATAGTAGTAGTTCGTTGATGGTATGCAGGCTCTTCCAGATTAATGATGGTGTTAGCAGAATGAGGTGGAAGTGTTCGATTTGGAGTGGGTGATTGGGAAGAAGTGGAGGCGCGACGGCTGCTTGAAAGTTTGTGAGATACTGTCGTGAAGTGATACAGGATCAACGTACCTTGGCTCTACAAATAGACTATAAGAAGTGCGAAAGAATAATGCGGATGATGCAGATGATTATCTGTCGTGCCAGAAGAAGGAAGGGTGAAGCTCAAGTCAATGAACAAGCATATGAGGAAGTCGAAGATGTGTAGACAGTCTCTTGATGATTTAGGTTAAGGTGGAGGGGGGGCACCAGTTGACGATGGACGGGCGAGAGCTGCAAATTGTACAGGATCATCCTTCCTGTGATTGAATAGTTGGCAACTTGCTGGAGGGACTCTCTGATGGGAAGTGGGGGTGTTGTGGGGCGGGGATGAACTACTTGTTGCATTAAAAAAGGGTGAGTTGCGCATCTCATTGGAATGGGATCTGTGTTGGGATTGAATGGTTTGCCCTGCTGGGTCCGCCTTATGTGATGGCGGTGGCGTGGGGGGGGGGTAGATATCTTGAGGCGCCGTAAGAAATCTTCCGGGTCTGCCTCTGGGCAGAATACGACAACGTGAGGTGCGAGAATAGTCTTACGTGGAGATGTTGCTGCAGGAGAGTGGCAGAAAGGAACAGGTGGCGGATTAGGATTTGAAAGTTGTAGATGAGATGAAGGTGTTCGCTCAGGACGTTCGCGGGGGCGACTTGAACTAGATAAACAAAACAACATTTAGTCAAAAAATAAAACGTACATGGCATTTCTTCTCTAGAAGGCAGCCATGCACCCTGCAAAATCGGTTGGCTGAGCGGGATCATGGTCCCTTGGCTCATCCATGACCTGTAGCAGCTCAAAAAGTACTGCTACTAGCTGGGGGTTTGTGATATACAGCTCTGGGATGACTACGAGATGTGAGGGGGCAGACGCAAGAGCAAACACTGTGGGCATACTGTTCCTGGAACAGGCTGGAAGGGACGTACTGGATTTCATCACACATGCCAGCCCTCTTTCGGCTTTTTCCGCATGCTCACATGATCATGGTCTTTCAGAATTTTCATCTTGCAAAGTTCAAACACGCTTCCCTTGATGACTTCCTGGCTCTCCTTTGAATGGTGGAATCGTTAGCATGCCGCGGTCGCAGGTTACAGGATATACTACGCCACTTTTCAACACCACCTCAATTACCTCCTGAAAATCCCACACCTCCACCTCCGTTGTCACTTGCAAGCATTGACTTCCAATTCGCGGAACCAGAACCGGAAAAGACTCAGTGCACCAGTGCAAAATCATCCAAGGCCTTGCTCTCGAGTATAGAGCAGAAAAGACGGTTTTTATGACGTCTGTCCCTTGGTGTACAAGTCCTGTGCCTCGGAAGAGATTTGGAGGTGGACGAGTCAAAGGGACAGAAACAGGTGTGTCTATAGCTGGAATTCTCATTCTGCACTGATCGACTCTAACAAAAGATGGTGGAGGAGGCTCCATCACTACTTCAGGCTTGGCGTGGAAGGGTGCAGTCAGGATCGTTTACAGCACCCCATATCATCTCAACATTAACACCCATCTCTATCTTTCCAAGGTCCCTCTAGATAATCCGCTCAAGCTCGTCATATCATCTTAATATCTACAGTCTCTGTCTTTCCAAGGTCCCTCTAGATAATCCGCTCAAGCTCTCAGCTTAGTATTTACCGCTATCTCTGTCTTGCCATGGGCCCTCTAGATAGCTCAAGCACATCCTATCTGGTCTTAATATTCAATTCCATCTCTCTTTTGCGCCATCCAATCAAGCTTAAATGTTTCAAGAATCACGCCATCTTTCTGTGTTCTCCAATATCCCCAATATCCGCTATCTTCCTGCCAGTGTTGGAGCGGGAGTCGTTATCAAGGGCATCACAGTTGGACGACATCTTTCTTGCTTACTCCATCAAGCGTAAGGCTTTAAATCATGTTATATGTTTGGACCTTAACCTGACCTGTGTTTCATTACATAAATTATTATTGACCCTGCATTGTAATCTACCAGGATCTTGCTAATGAGTTCGGTGGGGTCTGAAATCCCTCACTTCAAAGCAATCACTCTATCTCATCCACGGTGCATAGTATGAAGAGGCAATGAAACTCATTCGTTTTCTCAAGGATCTGACAGCTTTTCTACTTATCATTGCTTTCGTTAGCATGAGCCTCAAATGCGGAGGGGAATGCAACAGATTGTTCTCAGCGCCTAGAAGCCTGACTCGTCACCGTCAGACCTGCTAACACTGGCAGAGGCAACTGACTCTGCAGTCACAACATTTCAAACGCATCTCTGTGTCCCTACAAGTTTCGCAAGCGCCTCCTGTGAAGAAGATGAAATTTAGTGCTGAAGTAGTAAGTGCATTTACCGCACACTGTACCCTGAACTCCACTCATTTGAATGTTAGCTAACTTCTGCCTGGGAATCTCCACCTATGCCTATGAACATCGTGACATCTGATTCTTCCGATATTCCTGCATCTCCGCCCAGCATCAACGATTTGGCAGTGGCCTCGTCTAGCGCCTCTGGACTTGACACTGTACAGGAGGAGCAGCCAGAGAACCAAGCTGGCTGTCCCTCTCGAATGCATCGCCTACCCTTACGGTTCAGGGACGAACGTCCAGTCTGTCATATCCCATATATTAACGCTTCTCATCCAGATTTCCGGAACATAGATCCGGTCCGGTCCGATGTACAGATCCGCTTCTGATCCGATATACGATAAGCTTCTTAATTCATTTCCTGTTCATATAACGTTATCACAGCCTTTCCTGCTATCGGTAATTCCTTATTACCGGCTTCTCGGTATTCCTTAATTTCCGGCCATGTCTTCCTTGATCCGTTTTACTTGTGATTAATTCCCGGCTATGTTATTCCATCCGTCCACTCGTGATTTCCTTCCGGCTTCCGTTGATTAGCAATAGACTTTGCTTATACTTCGTACATAGCCTCGAGTCTTAGGCTTTTAGTATATAAACTCCTGTACTTACATTGTAACACCTCAGTTCGAATATCATCTTAGTTTGTCCTCTTTCCGTCATCCGGACTTGAGTACTCGTTAACTCTTGTCACCATCCGAGACTTACGGATTGTATCCGATAGTCTATATCTCCGACTCTATCTTCGGATAGTCTTTACTCTGTTGGTTTCTAGTCCGGACGCGTCCGGATTAGTCTTACTCGTCTTTCTGTTATCCAGATAACCTTCGGATATCGATATGTATACGTTCTGATCTCCGGATCCGATACGTTAGTGTTTCTGAAGTACAAGGGCAATACTCGGGAAAGGGGCACAGCGTACGAGCTGAGGCCAAAGCCCTTCGGATCCGTTAACCGAGAGTACAACCTTAACACAGTCCCGCCACCTGCCATTCCAGCGCCAGTGCGCCTGCCCACCACTGCCTCAGCAGTCTCAAAGTGCGTCTTATGAGCATTATATATGCCAACAAGTAATTTTTATAGCTATTGATTGCAATCAATAAAATACAATAAAGTCCACTCGATGCATGAATCTCGACTATAGTATACCGTCTATTTGAATCTGTCATACACCGCTGGTGCCCACCCACCCTTACAGTTCTCATTAGACTTCTCCTAGGTTTATGACGATGCTTCAGGCCACGATCCCTGCAGGTTTTGTCCAATATCAAAATCTTGTCTGAAGCGCATATACTGGCCTTACATACATAGTACTACTCCTTCTATGAATGTACAAATTGTGAATTTTTATGCCGTCAAAATGTCTAAAAAAGGACCCCTATCACCCCTATGTATGATGGGAAAGCCCTCCTAATAAATGCCCCAGGACATCCCAGAGACATGCTAGAGTGATCCCAGTTGGGATTGGGAAAGATCAAAAATAGGTCCTTGGGATGGCCCAGATACTTGCTTCAGTGTGGACTGGGACATCCCAGTACATAGGGTAAAATACTGGGAATACCATCCTAAAACACACCCACTAGGTCCTTTGCTAGCCACAAACACATAGACCTAAGAGGTCCTTTCAAGTGGTTGACTGAAGTGACTGAGAAGTATCACGTAGGTTAGTTGTAGGACAGTCTACCAATCGAAAGCACATACCAATGAGTCAAACACCATGTATTTCTCCATGGAGCTGTGTAAGTCCTTGGACACACACTTGTACAGCTCTGTCATAGACCTGTTGAGCTTAGCCTCGGGAGATGCCCAACATGTAGGACTACGCGGGTCCATGTCAGGCTGAGGCGTTGTCAGGAAGACACCGGGGATGACCCAGAAATGGTAGAACAACGTGTACTTCTTCCCTTCGGCGGCGATTTTCGCGTCAAGCAAGGACATCTTCTTGAGTGCATGGTTTCGGCTGCGGGCAGGGACAGTTGCCGAGAAGGCAAGGTAGTCCTTCTTAAGACCTTTAAACTCAACCCACAGGGAGTTATACGCTTGCTGCGCGGTCTCAAGAGCCTATGTACATCGAAAATATGTTAGAGCGAGAAAGAGAATCATAGTAAATGAGTGCACTCACCTTGCGAACCTCATGCATGGGCGCATCCGGTGGAGGGACGGACAGGATAATCCTCAAGGTTGAAAGCTCATTGCCGCTCGAGTTGTCGTCATCCGACAATTCAGCGTCAATGTCAGCTTCAAATTTCTCGCCTTCTGAACCATCGAACAAACCTGCGTGGAATCAATGCTCCAAGTTATAAGGAGACTGCTATCTTGGCTGTGCTGCTGCTGACGTCTATTGGTGTGATGAGTGATTCATAGCGAGTGGCAATCAAACGATACATACGTACTTCGACACGAGCATGATACCAAGAGCACACTAGCCGACAATGATGCATGAAGCATCAGCATTCCATGCGCCCGAAAATCGCCTAGTGCTCTTTGCAGGGTCTTATCAAGCAGGCGCTGATGAGCATTGTGGAAGATGCAGTGCACAAGCATCGACATTATGAGTCATGAATGAATCATCAAGACTAATTGACTAACCTACAATTGACGCCACGAGTCTGCTGAGTGTTGCCGAGTGACATGTGGTAAACATGCCTCGGGTCCATGGTCCAGGGTCAGGCAAGTTCTGAATCTGTCTGAGTCAAAGTGAGTGAGTGAGCGAGAGGAGTCATAACACACCGCTGCTGCTGCTGTTGGGGGTGAGGTTAGTAGAGAGAGGAAGAGAGGAAGCAGCTGCTGGGCATGAGGTTAGATGAGAGCGGGAGAGAAGGAAAGAGCGAGAGAGGGAGCAGCGCACCTCTGCTGCTGCGGTTGGGGGTGGTTAGAGGAGAGGGAGGGAGGGAGGGAGGAGTGCACCTGGACCCCTGGTGCTGTTGTTGCTGCTGCTGCAGTTGGGGGTGGTGAGAGGGGAGGGAGGAGCACACCTGGACCCCTGGTGTTGCTGTTGTTGTTGTTGCTGCTGCAGTTGGGGATGAGATTAGAGGAGAGTGAAGGAGGGAGGGAGTAGCGCACTGCTGCAGTTGCAGTTGCAGTTGGGGGTGAGGTTGAAGTGGAATGGGAAAGAGGGAGAAGCACGGCACTGCCATTGTTGTTGCTGCTGCTGTGGTTGGGGGTGAGGTTGAAGGAGAGTGTGGGAGAGAAGGAGCAACACTCTGCCGCTGTTGCTGTTGCTGTTGTTGTTGCCAGCAAGAAGGTGGAGTTAGAACAATAGACGCACTAGTATTCAGGCCAAACTTACACTTATCAATGTGCCCATGACTTCATGCGGAGGAACATGTCGCTATCAACATGGTCGATAATGAGATACTCACCTTGGTGTGTAGGATTGGGACACAACAAAGTGCCTCAAATGAAGGACTTGAGCGGGATGGTGATTGAATCTGCCCTGGGGACGGCTTTGACACAAGTAAGTCTCAGGTCTTGGTCAATCCTGCGAGAACCACCAACAACACCAGTGGTATACGGTTGAACAAGGGCAAACTGGAAGGCCCCAATATCCAGAAGTTTGCATTTGAACATCAGTATCAGCCAAATGAAGACCGTCCTGTCTGCTGTAAGTTGTATAAGTGCGCAGTTGAAGCGCGGATGCCCATGAAATGAGGGATTGGACTGGAGATGGTTGGTTGACTGCTTCTGGTCGACAGAGTTCTCATAATTGACCCTGAGATAATGATGTTCGTGTATCTGAATGAAACACAAGTCAACTGTAACGTAGAAGCTGACAGAGAAACAATGAACTTACCTGGAAATCAACTGGGAGAACAATCCACCTCATTAGCTCGTATCCGTAAGTTGGCAATGATGTGTTGACGAAGTCGCCAAGTTTTTTGCGGAAACCCTGAAATGCTTGATCTTTGGGGCCCCGCACATTCTTGAGTTCTTGAATACTGACAGGACGTTGAGGGGATCCAAGCTTCACATGCCCATCAAAGGTGATAGCATGGTCGTTGTCCTCGTCAAGCGCAGAGTCACCTAACGCCTCAAGGCGGCGCTGTTTGTCGAGTGTGTCCAAACATCCTCGCAACAGTAAGGTTGCAAACTTGTGATGATCAACGCGAAGTACCTGTAGTATGATTGATATGTATCAGTAATAAGTCAATATCATAAAGAAATGAGTGTGTGATACCTGCACAGCGACATCTTTTCCGTTCAATCGAAGGAGATAGGCGGTTTTCAGAGGGCCATGAAGTTTTTTGTTAGGGCGCGTGCTGTAGTTGCATGCAACACCTTTCATTTGGATGTCCCATGGCACGTGTTTCCAAAGGTGCACCTTTGGAAAGTTCCAGTCTTTCTTGAGGCCTTCCATGGAGGATGTATCAGTAACATAATCAACATAGTCCTAAGAATCCTGTGTCAATGATATGTCTTAAGTAGTAGCAAGCAATTTACCTTCAGTGCAGCACCAAATACAAGGAGCTTGTTCTTTATCATTGCAATTGTCCGCTCCATATGGACACCAAGCCCCAGCAGGCTGTCCAACTCGAGATAGGTGCAAATAACATGCAGAAGGCGATAGCCTTCCGAACAACTTCTGCGGTCCAAAGCATTGAGTGTCGCATAGAAAGATTGCTGTAAGATGATTAGTCGAGTAAATATGATGATAGGTCGTGGGTACTTACCAAGACTAAATCACGCTTCTTGTTGCCATCAGTGAATGTGATGTGAATGACGGTAGCGAAATGGTTGAGATCGCGCCATCCAGGAAATTCAGTGACCCTGGAGATACTGAGCGAGTAAGAATATGAAAATGAAAAAAGTACTCAACTGTTTCTCGACCGATTCCATCTCTTCATGTCCGAGATTGCTGATGATGGTCTTCAGCTCTTCTAGTAGATGTTTTCCTCCAAGACCGCCATGCACTGTGTGCAATCGGTCAAGGCTCAGTGCATCATGGGTATCAGAGTGCTTGACGAGCCAGAGGATGTTCTAAATATGATGTGTTAGTATTAGAAGATAAATAGAATATATCATTTGCTTGCCTCAACTGCGCGCAATCCTAGTGATTTCAAAAGTTCCTCGCCTTGAGTTTTGCTGTGTCTATATACAACGAGTGCATCCTGCGTGTCTTTCGCAGTCCTGATTGCGAATGTTTTGGAGAGGTCAGAAAGCTCATTGAGTGGTACGAGGCACACGGGGCATGGGCACTTGCATTGCACACCACGAATAAGAGACATCATGCATCTGCGAGTGTGATTGAAAACCATGAAAGCAAATATATCGGGGCACTCACTGTTCTTTGTAATCTGCTGAAAGTATTAGTATCGTGTGATAGAAAAGAAAAGAAAATATACCGGCGTCAACTCAGCTGCAGCATTGTTTAATGCCATATGGAGATCGGCCTCATTTTTCAGTGTGACATGGGTGTTGCCCTGCGCTATGCGCACGATAAGACTGAAGAGCTTGTCGACCTGGCCCTGATTAAGGGCAGCTTTGAGTGCGATTTCAGAGAACTCAAAGTCTCCCCATGAATGAAATGGATGCCAAGGGGCTTCATCCACAGGAGGTTCTTTAAGCGTCTCCGAAGCAACACCAAACTCTTTGAATGCTTGGAGTAGAGGCTTGCGGCCAGAACAGGGATGGAACTCGGTTTTGAACTCATGAGGGTGTGCAATGTGCACTGCAGGCTGGGATTGGACGTTTTCAGGACCAGTATTGCTGGCCATGCTAGCGTCAGATAAGACTATCGTTGCATAGACAGTTGTCAGTTGGTTGCGTCTAAGAAATGAATAAAGAAACACATACCTGGGCTCTGAACACCCTCGTTTCCAGCGTCAAATTCCATGTGGTTGTCCAGACCAGCTGTGAGTGTTGGAAATGTCAGAGTGAACATTCTACCATCAAAATTGAGTAAAATACTGTACCTTGCCCCATGTCAGCTTGCGATTCTGGGTTTGCAGCTAATGGGTCATCCACGACGATGCGTGAAGGACCAGCCGCTGCTTCTAAGGTTGCTGTTCATTGAGGTTTCTTGTGGTGTGCTTTTGAAATCGAGCAGAAACAAATAACACGAGTATTGAGCGACAATGGATGGATTCAGACATAAGGACTCACCTAGAACTGATCGCTGATCTCTCTCAAACTCCAGAGCAAAGGCCTCTTGACCCTCTGCATCACGCATCTTGCAAGTTGATTGATGTCGCTTGATGCCTTGGGACTTATACATCTTCCCGCAATGCGGGCACTGAGAGTCGCTTGTTAGTGTTTTTGAGCTATAATTATATTTACCTCGACTTGAACAGTTTGGGGCCATGGCCGCAAGACAATAGTTAGAAAGATATATACACGTTGGTGTACAAAAGAGCTTAAGAGAAGGCATTGAGAGGCGTTGAGTTGATGGGTCAGTACCTTGTTGATTCCGCCTTGCAAGGTCACATGATAAGATTCGTCACAATATGTGACAATGTCTGACAAGTTCTTATGTATTCTTCCGCCGGCCTCAAAAGGGACTTGTAAGACAACTCATAATGCATGTGACCAGATTTATAAGCCGGCGGCATTGTAAAGGTCACTTAACTTTTTCTGACATAGTAAGGAAAAAAGGACAAAAAGCAAGAAGTAAGAAGTTCTATACTCGTCTCGACGAAAGAAAGACAAAAATAAGTAAGGTAAGGAACCAGGCGTTTTACTGATGCTGTATCATTGCGTATTCAGAGGAAAATTTTCAGTGTCTTTTAGGTGTTGAAAATACTGATCCAAGATTGGATGGGAGAAGGCACTGATTGATCAAAGCAAGCAACGGACACCTCGTGAGTCAAGCAGCATTTGAGACAAAACGGTTTAGAACACTGACTTTTTGTCTTTTGCAGGGTCAGCGATCTTTTTCTAAGAGCTCAGTTTGAATTCACTGTATCATCACATATTCAGAGCAAAATTTTCAGTGTCTTTTCAGTGTTGAAAATACTGATCTGAAATCAGATGGGAGAAGGCACTGATCGATCAAAGCAAGCAATGGATACCTCCTGAGTCAAGCAACATTTGAGACAACAGTTCAGAACACTGACTTTTAGTTTTTCGTAGAGTCGACAGTGTTCTTCTACTAGCTCAGTTCACCACATCATTACATATTCAAGTAAAAATGTTCAGTGTCGAAACACTGATCCGAGATCAGATGGGAGAAGGCACTGATTGATCAAAGCAAGCAATTAATACCTCCTGAGTCAAGCAGCATTTGAGACAACTGTTAGTCTTTTGCAGTGTCAGCAATCTTCGTCTACGAGCTCAGTCTGATTCCACTGGATCATTGCATACTCAGAGCAGTATTTTCAGTGTCTTTTCAGTGTGCTTTTTAGTGTCAAAAATACTGATCTGAAATCAGACAGGAGAAGGCACTGATTGATCAAAGCAAGCAACGGATACCTCGCGAGTCGACATTCAGAACACTGACTTTTTTAAAGTCTTTCGTATTATCTCGGGGCCGCAGTGGACGTCGCGACTGGGAAGCACAAAATTCAGTATTTGAAGGGCTGGAACTGTCGTTTTCTAGCGTCGAAAATACTGAACGGACGAGACACTGAAATGAGGTCGAGCCTAGGCTCCCGAAGGAAGATAGTCGTTCTGCAGTGACTCATCGCAATCGTGACTGGGCAGCGCAACAAGTCGGCGCACTTTCTATTCAGTATCATAAATACTGTAATCGGATCGACATGACACTGGGAAAACCACTGGTTAATATCACAGAAACCATGCACATGCGGATACGAGCTCTGTGGCAGCTAAGGATCGAGCTTCCGGATCTTCGTCTCCAATGGCATTAACGTATGAGTGACAGGATTCGAACGGTCAGTCGACGAGCACGTTCGTTCGTTCCATCTCGATGGGCGTCGATGATTTTAGCTTTAGTGCTGGCTCCCTGCCGGGGAAGAGGACTGGTCGACGTGGCACCATCCGCGGGGACATTGAAAGAGACGGCGACCCAGGTGAAACGGGATTTTGGATTTTAAACGGTGAGTCGCGACTATATGCGCGACTTGAGAGAGTAGACGTCAAGCAGGAATTGGTTTCTCCCTTCGATGGGTGTCTTATAGCGGGCGTGGCCCGACCGGAGGCACGACGAGATCTGCAAGCATCAAATACTGTGTAGCAAATAATACAGAAGTCCAGAGCATCTAATCGTAGGGATTCCAGGTCGCAGTCCAAGCATGACGGCCAGAGGTCGAAAGTCGAAGTCGAGCGCTTACATCCAATCGCTAGAGTTGTCAATTCTCACCAGTCTCGGGCACGCTTTCTGAACACTGGCTTCCATTCAGCCTGGATTTCCTCCATGGTCAGCTCAGATACCGGAGAAGTCGCACGAAATTCTTCCTCGTTTGGCGAGTGTTCTGAAGCATCCTGAGCCTGCCAGTGCGAGATCTGGATGAGGATACATGCGTCAGCGAATGGTTCGAGCGCGGATTCAAACGCCATGGCGAACTACATCTTGAGATGATTCGGTCTCCTGTAGAAAGCTCGACGAGTCGTCGAGGTCAGATTCCGTCGACTCGGAATGCGACGTGTTTGACGATGGGTATGGCACGATGGTGTTTCCCTCTGGTTGGCACTTTCTGGCTAAAAGGAAGGGAATGTCAGCGTAGCTAGATGGCGATCTGGGCACGACTCGCTCAAGTAATCATCGACCCATCGTCTGAAATGATCTCGACCGTCCTCAGTATTTTCACCACTCTCTTGCGACTCGCCAAAGTCTGCGGGAACAGGTTGTTTTGTGCGACCTGCCGCTGCCTTCCGTGACTCGAGTTAAATGCAGGACGTAGTAAAGACGATGAAAGACGACCTTTGGTTTCGATTTGTCGCGTCCCTTCCGTTTCACGTAGTCGCAATGGTTTTGCAAATATTGCTGGATAAGCTCTTTCACGGGCCAGCCGTGCTCGAACTTGGCGAGATACGGTATTCGCGACATGGCCTAGTGGTCGATATCAGCGCATATATCCATGTTAAATGTAACATGTTTTGCGAAACCCGTACCTTCTTGGTTATAGAAGCCAAGACCAACGGTGACTGAAACCGAATCGTGGTATCGAGTCGGAGACCGTTGTTCTTGGCGATCTTTCTCACCTCGTACTGAAATGATGCGCCGATATGAATGGACGAAGGTTCTCCGTGACGGTAGCTCACTCGCCTGTATTGAATTGTATGTAGCATCCTCCCCGTGGAGACGCATTTCGTCCTGTAACGCGAAGTCGCGTTTGGCGGCCCCCCTTGGACGTGGAATCAGAGAATCAAAGTTCTTTTCACGAGTCTTCAAAAATTTACGTCGAGGAGCCATCACTGTAGGTTGCACACCATATATTGAACTATCCAGTTATTGACATATGAATGAATCGTCACGTGACCGGGTCTTGGTACCTTTCCTCAATGTTTCGTGTCTACATCGAGCAGCATCAGGGGACGAAGGTGACAAAGCCTTCCTAGTATCGTCACGAAGCACCAGCAACGAAACCAAAATTATAACTCCGACTTTAGGTAAGCCTTCAGCTACAGGACTCAGGTAGTACTAGTAGTACTAGTGTTCCCTGCTTCACAGTGCATTATGCGATTCTTCTGCTGCGCCTGGGACTGTCAGCTCGCTAGGACCAAGACCGCGCGTCTGATCCTTCTTGCAGAATGACTCGTATCGTTGGTCTCCGTGCAGTGACGACGAGACGTCACCCGCAATTCGACGCGATCAGACCAGAAATCGCAAGCCCTTAGCCGTCGTCGCAATGCGGCCGGGACGATTCCTAGCGTGAATCTGAATTCGCGCCAGAACCGCATCGAGAGGTGGAGAGTCGGGGAAGCAACCAGTGACCAAGGTGGGTTCTCCCCGCGATCCGCTTCATCTGCACCATCCATTCCGCCTCTGACATGCGCAGACGCTGCTCGGCGCGATCTCCAATTTGGTGTTTTAGTTCAGCGATCACGCTCGTCGAAGGAGCTCGATGTTTTTCACCTCCATTTAATATCTATGTACTCTCATCAATCTATGTTTCTCCTTCAAACCACCTGCATGCGTGACTGCGCTGTGATATATTCATGTGCCTCAACGCCTAGCAACTCTACATCGAAGTAACGACGAAATACCGACAACAAGAAATCACGACAGCGAGGGCCTGTGGGTCTTCATGCAATCCAAAACAGCTTCCACGCAATTCTGAACGCCCCGGATGTGCTGACCCTCCAACGCTCTTTTGACGCATCGTCTTGACAACTTCGTTTGGCTGACTGGAATAGGTAAAAATTCTTCATCAAATCCATGACCGAGGTGTCGTTCACCGCGATATCAAGCCTGGAAACATCCTACTCCCGATTAATGGGGAGTTGCAACCTCACTTGCTAAGCGCTACCGCGACGAGACCAGAAAACATAAACCGGAATCTGGAGAGTGCGCCGAAGGCACGTTGCCGTATATGAGCATCCACGTTCACTCCCATACAGGTGAGTTTACCTGTATAACACGTTTTGATCACGTTATAGTTGCCGAGACGACGTAATATCCTTGGCGTATACGCTGATCCACTTAGCGAAAGGATCGCTCCCGTGGTGTGGACTCTCCTCAGCAGAGTGCGAGGAAATGAAACTAGAACTTCGGTCGTTGGCAATCACCCCTGCTCCACTCGGATTGTTTCTAGAACATGCTGAGGACCTAGGGTATTTGCAGCTTTTGTTTGACTCCGTTGGCGGCTGACTCTGGTTGACAGTTATGCAGAGGATCCTAGACCGTCTTTCAAAGGACTCTGCTCAGCCGCAACGCAAAGACGACTGGTTAAGAGCAGCTGCAATAGAGGACATCTCAGAGCAACGCGCGGCCTGGATGGCAGATGTCCTTGTAGCTGCTGTATCACCCCAATACCCAGACAAACTCGGTCAGTGTCCTTCATTTCCGCACTGTTGCACGTGCTGATAAGTCTGTAGTATCAAGCGCGAGATTGGCCATCTTTGCCATGATGAGCACCGACCGCCAAAGACTGGTGGGAAGCAGAGTTCCGATGCTGTTCCAGCTGCTTCGTCAAATAGCGCTGATCCTGCAAGGTCGATGACTCGTGGAATACATTTCCATGTCTACTCACAAGTGTGCGTTCCTCCGATTAAACTTGTCAGGTGCATTTGACACCATGCAACCCGGCCCATCGAACACCTTTACCACGATGTCCCTTTTCACGTCCATCTGTCATTACAGAGGCAGCGACCTCAGGCTGAACAAAGCAGCGAACCAGTTTGTGTTGTTAACTTTTCAAATTCCTAGTGCACTCGCCCGGATAATTGTTGGTTGCTTTGCTCAGAATCGTCACAAGGAACCTCTATAGTAGCAGTGTGCGCTGGTGATTCAAGAGGTTCCACCATTTCGCGAACGTATGCCTCACCACCCTGCTTCTGATTTCATGACCTCTGCAGAAATTGCTAATAAACTACCGAAGGACTTCATATGGGGATTCGCTACTGGTACGTTTCACCATTTTTACCGCTGCCATCATACATTGACGTGTTTTACAGCGAGTTTCCAGATCGAAGGATCTGCTAATGTCGATGGACGCGGGAAGTCAATCTGTGACGACTTCTCCAAGCAACCTGGAAAGACAATGGACGGCCGAGACGGAGATGTGGCCACTGATTCATACAGGCTCTGGAAGGAGGAAATTGCACTGCTTGCTCAGTATGGCGTCAAGTCCTGCCGATTTTCCTTATCTTGGTCTCGTATCATCCTCCTCGGTGGCCGCAACGACCCCGTTAATCCTAAGGGTATAGCCTTGTACTCCAATTTCATCAATGCACTGCTGGAACATCACATAATCCCATTTGTTGTTGTATGTAGAGCATCCGCGCTTCCTTCAGCACGTTCTCACTACGTTTTCTCAGACTCTATACCACTGGGACCTTCCCCAGGCCCTGCATGGCAGATATGGCGGGTGGTCAAACAAGGACCAGATAGTTCAGGACTATGTCCGCTATGCTAAGGCGAGTTGTCCTGTAATTTTGCGTATAGTTTGAAATAAGCAAAAACATGGCTGCTAGGTCTGCTTCCAGGCTTTCAGAGACCGAGTCAAGCACTGGTGTGTGTGCTTCAGGTATTCGGTCACCATGCGTCTTTAGGCTGACAGTGAACGAGCCATGGTGTGTCTCAATTCTTGGGTATGGAAGGGGCGTCTTCGCGCCAGGACGATCAAGTGACCGAGGAAGATCACCGAAGGCGACTCCTCCACCGAACCGTGGATGTGCGTCTACTACTCATTGTCTGTACGCAATCGGCTTGTTGATTTCACCCCACAGAGTCGGCCACAGCGTCATTTTATCGCACGCATATGCAATCAAGCTTTATCGCGAGGAGTTCAAGGCCGTGCAGGGTGGCCAGATCGGAATCACGCTCAATGGTGACTGGGCCATGCCATACAATGATAGCCCACACTGAGTAGGCACAATTTTTGGTTTGCTCGGATATTGACAACACGCGTCTGTGCTTTCAGATGTGGAGGCGGCACAGCACGCCCTTGACGTCGCTATCGGTAAGTTTGGCCCCTGTCTGTAGCATCCAGTTTGCGCTGACGAACGGTTGATAGGATGGTTCGCTGTAAGCTTCAAGTCATATGCTCTGTCGAGTCGTCAAATCAAACATATGTTATTCGCCAGGACCCGATCTACCTTGGTCATTACCCGAAATACATGAAACAGATGCTTTTGACCACCTGGGCTTGTGAGTATCGACCCATTGGTCGACGATGATCACCACCTTGTGGTACTCATCGTCGTCGGCAAGTTCGGACGTCGCCAACCCTGCCGAGGACTTCGAGGACGTATCTGTTGGTTTTGGTTTGATCGAGTCGCGCTTCTTCGTCGCCAACCATGGGGTCGAAGAGGACTGGTCCGTCGCTGATGTCTCAATCTGGAAATGTCAGCAGCAGCATTGAAGGACGCGACAGGTAGAACCTACGGCATTGTGCACCACTAGCTTGGTATAAGATTTGAGGAGGACGGGCCCATCAACTAACTCCCCCCTCACCTCGAATTCCCTCGAATCTGAGCGGGCAGTTTCTCTCTGTGTCAAGGGGATACTCCCATGGGACATCTGGATAGCAATGTCATGCTCGATATCCTGGAGCAAGCAGCTCTCGTTGAGCAGCGGCAAGACCGCTGAAACCACCTCTCCGATGGTAGTCTTGCCTGTTTCGTCAACGACGACTTCAGCGCCCTCGATTAGGGAGACCCGACCCCATCGGAGTCGTCGTTTATTCTCAAATGCAGGACCAAGCGTGCCTTTGAGGGCTCGAGGGACGAATCCATCGCTGCGTCTATTACTTTTTGGGCTATGACACAGAATTTGTCTGTCAGATACAGAGTTATCGACGGAAACGCCTGTCTGGCGTTCTTTTTTAACGTCGCAAAGTTGTGCCTGGCTTTATTGCCATTTAAGACATCTTTTGCCTGTTGCAGGAGACCAACGATATGAGTCATTCTGCGAGAAGGATCAGACGCGCGGTCTTGGTCCTAGCGAGCTGACAGTCCCAGGCGCAGCAGAAGAATCGCATAACGCACTGTGAAGCAGGGAACACTAGTACTACTAGTACTACCTGAGTCCTGTAGCTGAAGGCTTACCTAAAGTCGGAGTTATAATTTTGGTGGGATCAGCGACCAACACGACATCATGATGAGTCAGTGCTGTACTCAGGCTAGCTTTGCGATTGGGATCAAAACTTACCTGCCGATAAAACTGTCCAAGTCCCTAGGAGGGTTTGCTCTGATGTAACTTGACTCGTGGCTCTGGGACTCCGGTCTGTATCGTTTCGCGTTTTCGACAAGGTACGAACGCCCGAGTATTTCGAACCTTTGTCTCGAACATTGATTTTCTCGCAAGCCAAGCTTCGTCGAAGTACGGACGAGGGAGATCCTTGCTCATCCGACGTTCCACGCTCAACCGAACGCTAGTCATGCGTTTGGAAGTCGTATTCACGAAACCGACGCAGCAGGATCGCGTCATCCCAATTTCTGACGACGAGTCGCGCTGATCGTCATCAAACCGCAGATTCAGCCACTTTGAAGACGCGCTCCAAGTCCAGATCACGTCCACCCTTCACGAAGCCTTGATCTCGTGGCTCGCCAAACAGCTCAACCTCACGTTTCTCATCACGTTTTACGCCAACAACCGTCTTGTCCATAGGGAGTCACAGACTTGGTCCGACTGATCGGGGAGTCGGGACTCAGTTCAAACAAAATCGTCGACGATGCTGTCCCCTGCAATAAACTGCGCTGCTAGGAGTCTCTGACACGATGTCAGTGGTCATGCGACCGTAGAGAACGGTAACGCCTCGTTCGCGTCGCCATTGGTGCGTGGGATCACGCGTTATATATTGCTTGCTAACACGACGACTACAGACCCTCCTTACAGGATGAAACGCACCTCCATCGACTTGAACAGGTTTGCACCGCAACGCAATCTCCTACACGTCGTGATGGATACCATCGATGATCTCGATTTCATTACTCTGGAGCTGGGCGAAAGACGAAGATGGGACCAAAAAAATTGAGAATTGAGAATTGAGACTACGAACCTCGAGGTATAGATCGCGTTTCAATGCCTGTATCGTGTAGGACGCACCTTCGAATTCCGCTGCGTTACAGGACGAACTGCGTTTCCACAGGGAGGATGCTACATACGATTCAATACAGGCGAGTGAGCTACCGTCACGGAGTACCTTCGTCCATTCATATCAGCGCATCATTTCAGTACGAGGTGAGAAAGATCGCCAAGAACAACGGTCTCCGACTCGATGCCATGATTCGGTTTCAGTCGCCGTTGGTCTTGGCTTCTATAACCGTGAAGGTACGGTTTTCGCAAAACATTTGACATTTGACATGGATATATGCGCTGATATCGACCACTAGGCCATGTCGCGAATACCGCATCTCGCCAAGTTCGAGCACGGCTGGCCCGTGAAAGAGCTTATCCAGCAATATTTGCAAAACCATTGCGACTACGTGAAACGGAAGGGACGCGACAAATCGAAACCAAAGGTCGTCTTTCATCGTCTTTACTACGTCCTGCATTTAACTCGAGTCACGGAAGGCAGCGGCAGGTCGCACAAAACAACCTGTTCCCGCAGACTTTGGCGAGTCGCAAGAGAGTGGTGAAAATACTGAGGACGGTCGAGATCATTTCAGACGATGGGTCGATGATTACTTGAGCGAGTCGTGCCCAGATCGCCATCTAGCTACGCTGACATTCCCTTCCTTTTAGCCAGAAAGTGCCAACCAGAGGGAAACACCATCGTGCCATACCCATCGTCAAACACGTCGCATTCCGAGTCGACGGAATCTGACCTCGACGACTCGTCGAGCTTTCTACAGGAGACCGAATCATCTCAAGATGTAGTTCGCCATGGCGTTTGAATCCGCGCTCGAACCATTCGCTGACGCATGTATCCTCATCCAGATCTCGCACTGGCAGGCTCAGGATGCTTCAGAACACTCGCCAAACGAGGAAGAATTTCGTGCGACTTCTCCGGTATCTGAGCTGACCATGGAGGAATGCTTGGACTGCGACCTGGAATCCCTACGATTAGATGCTCTGGACTCCTGTATCATTTGCTACACAGTATTTGATGCTTGCAGATCTCGTCGTGCCTCCGGTCGGGCCACGCCCGCTATAAGACACCCGTCGAAGGGAGAAACCAATTCCTGCTTGACGTCTACTCTCTCAAGTCGCGCATATAGTCGCGACTCACCGTTTAAAATCCAAAATCCCGTTTCACCCGGGTCGCCGTCTCTGTCAATGTCCCCGCGGATGGTGCCACGTCGACCAGTCCTCTTCCCCGGCAGGGAGCCAGCACTAAAGCTAAAATCATCGACGCCCATCGAGATGGAACGAACGAACGTGCTCGTCGATTGACCGTTCGAATCCTGACACTCATACGTTAATGCCGTTGGAGACAAAGATCCGGAAGCTCGATCCTTAGCTGCCACAGAGCTCGTATCCGCATGTGCATGGTTTCTGTGATATTAACCAGCGGTTTTCCCAGTGTCATGTCGATCCGATTACAGTGTTTATGATACTGAATAGAAAGTGCGCCGACTTGTTGCGCTGCCCAGTCACGATTGCGATGAGTCACTGCAGAACGACTATCTTCCTTCGGGAGCCTAGGCTCGACCTCATTTCAGTGTCTCGTCCGTTCAGTATTTTCGTTGCGATGAGTCACTGCAGAACGACTATCTTCCTTCGGGAGCCTAGGCTCGACCTCATTTCAGTGTCTCGTCCGTTCAGTATTTTCGACGCTAGAAAACGACAGTTCCAGCCCTTCAAATACTGAATTTTGTGCTTCCCAGTCGCGACGTCCACTGCGGCCCCGAGATAATACGAAAGACTTTAAAAAAGTCAGTGTTCTGAATGTCGACTCGCGAGGTATCCGTTGCTTGCTTTGATCAATCAGTGCCTTCTCCTGTCTGATTTCAGATCAGTATTTTTGACACTAAAAAGCACACTGAAAAGACACTGAAAATACTGCTCTGAGTATGCAATGATACAGTGGAATCAGACTGAGCTCGTAGACGAAGATTGCTGACACTGCAAAAGACTAACAGTTGTCTCAAATGCTGCTTGACTCAGGAGGTATTAATTGCTTGCTTTGATCAATCAGTGCCTTCTCCCATCTGATCTCGGATCAGTGTTTTCGACACTGAACATTTTTACTTGAATATGTAATGATGTGGTGAACTGAGCTAGTAGAAGAACACTGTCGACTCTGCGAAAAACTAAAAGTCAGTGTTCTGAACTGTTGTCTCAAATGTTGCTTGACTCAGGAGGTATCCATTGCTTGCTTTGATCGATCAGTGCCTTCTCCCATCTGATTTCAGATCAGTATTTTCAACACTGAAAAGACACTGAAAATTTTGCTCTGAATATGTGATGATACAGTGAATTCAAACTGAGCTCTTAGAAAAAGATCGCTGACCCTGCAAAAGACAAAAAGTCAGTGTTCTAAACCGTTTTGTCTCAAATGCTGCTTGACTCACGAGGTGTCCGTTGCTTGCTTTGATCAATCAGTGCCTTCTCCCATCCAATCTTGGATCAGTATTTTCAACACCTAAAAGACACTGAAAAATTTCCTCTGAATGCGCTCGTGTGACTTCTCCAGTATCTGGAACTTCTTCGATGAGCGCCCCGAGGATGACAGACCCGAGAGCATAGTACCATTGATGAGAGCAGCCTGAGTGGGATTAAAACATGGGGTGCGAGAGCGATCGCTGAACTTAAACACCAAATTGGAGATCGTGCCAAGCATCATCTGCGCATCTCGCACGCAGCATCCCTATCGCAATACCCAGCTCAAAAGCCACGCACCGACCGCACCAAACAGTGTCCAGTTCCCTGATCTTCGATCGTGCCCATCAAGTTTTCCGTTGGGTGCAACGACGCGACCGAACAAAAGAGTCGCAAAATCAGGGCAACGAATAGTATAGATGCATGATGAAAATAGTGAGAAGGAAAGAGTTTGCAATCAGAATCCCTGGCAAGGAGAGGAAGTTGAAGCTGAATGGATTTCCGGGCGTGCGGAGCGGAAGCTGCAGCATTTCAAATCATGCAAATAGTATAACTCATTTCCAGCAAAAAAGTCCCTGTTCATATGTAGTTGAACAACATAAACTGCTTCGCCGGCAAGGTGCGGGTAGTTATAGTACATATCAATGATCATTACAGCACACTGAATTAGTGCCTCAAGAACCTGGAGGTTGGCGGAAATAGTGATTTCGGAAACGTCTTGGAAGACACATTGCGGTCGTGTTCTTGGAGAGCCTTTCTCAGATCATCCTGAAGTTGCTCGCTGGACTTTATCAAGTCTTCCCAGCGACGTGCCATAGTCGCGCTGTGCTTTGAATAACTGTCCACCAGAGGAATGAACGAGTTGTATTGCGTTGCACTGGTTGGTCATAGCAGAATGAATTCTCGTCAGCAACGTATGTCTAGAATGAATCGCTCACTATGCGTCTGCCAACGCGTGTAAGGCTTGAGCTGCATCACGCAGGAGTTCCTTCCTCACAACGCGAGCGTCTTCCTTGATGCCTTTGAGCTTATTCGCGATGCCCTCCACTATAAACTAAGACAGAGGTCAGACGATAAGCGCATCCAGTCACAAAATCAGGAGCTTCACTGTTTGGATGTCGTTCAGTACCTGTAAAATAAATGAGTAACACGGCAGAAACTAGAGCAGGTTTTCCTTACATCTACTATGTCCTGGATATCACCATCCTCATCGGACTTCATGTTCCAGCGGCTGTTCTCCCTTGGCGACTTTTGCGCGGGTTGAGATGATTCCAACTCGTCATTAGAAGCGAATGAGATGATATCAGTCAAAGGACCTTCGCCATCGTTTGCTCTGACGGGGGTGAGGGAAATATTCAATGATGCGAGCTCTCGCTGCTCGTTATGAGAGAGAGTCTTAGACAGAGGGGAAGAATCCTGAGACCGGATGACATCCATGGCAGCGTAGATGGAAGGCCTTGAGACCCCGATACACGACCGATGCCCATCTTGACATTCGGTGATGTGCAAGGCAACCGGGATTGCAGTAGACGTCTTAAAGCTCTCTACAGGATGTGGGTCTTTACTCTGGAGCATTCTGGCATCATTGGCCACGCCACGGTTCTTTCCCGAGCCGTGGCAATTTTCCACCGGAGTTGGGTCAAGTGTGGGGTCGGTACAAACAGGCAGCTTACGTGGCGTCAACAGAGGAGAGGCAGGCTGCAAAAAAAACTTAGCTAACAAAATGTCACAAAAACCGTAACATACAAGAATAGCATCGTCCTCGCTCTCTTTCAATGATACAGAAAAGTCAATGAAATCGCCAAATAATGCTTTCTCCACATCTCCCGATGCGATATCCTGGATTGGGCTCAGCGGATCCTCGTCTGGGAGGCAGACCATCGAGGGTTTCACTTCGTTGGTCGAGGCATGTTGCGCAATGAATACCGGGTCAGTACGAGCGTGGCCTGGAGTTGATATTTCCGTTTCGGTGATCTGAAACGATGTCAGTTTTTAACGAATTAGTGACACCTTGAATAGATCGATCTACCACTGCATGTGTGCTTCTGGTGTGAGTCTCAGTGGTGCTCGGGTCCGCCTGGTTCATGGCCGTCTTGTATGCAAATTAGGGGAGAGGATGATTAAAGGAAGAAGCGACAAACCTTATTGGCTTGCTTTCTTGATGCCGAGTCTGATTTGGAGGACGCCGAAGGGCCGTTAGCCGCGTCGTGGAGGACTTTCGTAATTTGATCGACCGGTTCTGGTGCAGCGACCATTCCAGTGTCTGCTTCCAAGAGCAGGAGTTTCGAAACGATATCTTTGGGAGACTCGAACTCGTGCGCCGCGTGGATTTGTATGCCAGAAATAGGAGCTGGAACTTCTTTCGGGGCTGGTTTCGAAGCCCCGATTGCCTTGACGCGCGCGTTCTCTGGTAGAATAGGTGACAGTGCACCCCCTCTCATCACGTATTTCCTGGAAGCCTTCGCAACAGTCGGTGATAACATCGACGAATCGGAAGGATCAGTCAATATACTTGCTGCATACTCGATTAGGATGTCGCTGCTAGTAGTGCCACGGGCCCTCTTTTCAGGTGGATGATCGTCCCCTAGAAGTTTGGATGCTATCGTGGGGGAATTGGCATCATCCCATTTGCGTCGGGTCCCTGCCAGCTTCACTGGCATATTGGCCAAATCAGGTCTGAGGACAGTATTTTGGGCACACTTAGCGCTGGCGTCACTTTTGAGCACTTGAAACTCAGGCTTGCTCGCCGGTGCTTGTCGTGGCGCTTGCTGCAAAGGCAGAGATGTTTGCTCAGAGTGGGCGGCGATAGATTGTGCGTTACCCGGGAAGTCGGTTTCGTACGCTGTGAGCTTTGAGGTTAACCCTGATGTGACACTGAACATAACCTAGAGACTTTACCATTCCCGAGATAATTAGCTTTATCCTGCAACGTGCAGATTTTAGTACAAGGGATGAGAATTAAACTGACGCAACAACCTCAAACTGTGACCCTTGTGACGACGGTGGTAAAGGTTCGCTCGACAATCTGATGCCATGCGCGAGGCAGACACGTGTCCATTTTGTGGCTTGCTTTTGGGGATTTTCACCTAAGAAATTGAGCTTGACCTATGTGCAGCTATTAGCGAAGTTGTCCGTCAATAACCTCTTTGCACTTACTATGCCGCGCCTATTTAAAGTCTCCACGAGCCTGTTCAAATTCTCCCGCTGGATTTCGAACTTCAGGTAAAGTTTCTGACCTTCCGGGATGGCCAACGACACGTCTCCTATACTCGGCGGCATTGTTAAATCGACATAAACGATGAATTTACTGAGTGGTGGCGCCTTTGACACATCGATTAGGACAGATCGTACATGATCATAGGAAATCTTCAAGCTTTGACAGACATCGTCCTGAAGTCAGTGCTCAGCGAGGCCCGCGACTGTGTGGTAAATATACTCACCTGCCCAACAAGGTTGACAAGGAAAAATGCTCTATCCAAGTGCAAACGGTCAAATGCAGTCGGCTGAGGATAGCATTTGCCGCATATATAAACCTCATCCAAGGCAAATGATTGAGGACTGTTCCAGGGAGTCGATCGAGGTGGTCTGCATTACCAAATCAAAATACTCACAATGTGATATCGCTGTAAGCCAAGGCGTCCATAATCTTCATTACTGTACTTTCCCAGCACGAACTGGTAATGCATTGGAGGATGTTGACAAGTTCTGAGCTGCAGGTGAAAATTTTATCGGAGCCAAAAAGGTCGTTGATGAACTCGGTCCGTTTGGCCGTCGACATTGGGATCAGCCATCCCACTACATAGAGAAGGGCCTCTATTACCAGGTAGTCTAGGTATAGTCAGAAAAAACTGCACGAGAAGAACATTATGAAGACTTGCCCCTGGACTGTGAGATTGTGATGCCGATGAGCGACCTAAGAACTAGATTGAGATTATAATTGAAAAAGTGAAACGATCTTACCCTCCAAGAAAGGTATGATCTCGCAGCCTACGTTGATTACCAGGATGCCCGCTAAGCGTTTCGTGTAATAGAGAATAAGCCTGTCGATAAAATCGTCATGAGAAAACTGCTATGGTCAAGTGGTAGGTACTCACAGCCACTTGAGTGCGAGGAGAAAGAGTCAAGGAATCGTCCTGGTCAAAAAAGAAGGTGCATATAATCGGATAAAACGCTGATGCAACGATTTCCTTGGTGACATCTAGCAGGTTCAGGGAAAAGATAGATGAAAGAACATGCGCATACCATCAGAATGTTTATCCAGAAAATCCTAGATTTTATTTAAGCAATGACAATAGAGCAAGATGGGAGGTCATACCAGGACACCTGATAAAAGCGCCACCGCGATCTCATTCCAGCAGGTGGTGACTTGAAAATTTGCAGCATTTCTCAGATTGCAAACGAATATTTTGCGAAAAATAGCAGATGAAAGTCGGAGCGCTGGTCCGGGAAAGGCCACATACAAGGGAACTGGATCCCGACGGAGGACGGAATGAAGATTTGATATTGATTGTGGGGAAGGGCATGTCGAATTCTGAAATATACACGAGTTACCACCCGTTTTCCAAGAGGTTGAAACGTTGATCACTCACCAAAATCACAAGGTACGAGGCAAACTGGCTGACGACGTCGGGGAGGTGCTTGCTGACACCACTTTGTTTGGCGGCAGCTTTAAGCGCCTCTACAGCCCTTTCAAGCTCTGTCATTCACGTAGTAATAAGCCAGGGCGGCGATTGAATGATGGGTACAATAAAATACAAAACGAAGAGCTGTACAAACAATCCGATACACTTTGAAAATCAAATCAATTTTGTGTTTCTGCAAGTACTGCTGCAGCCCGCACATTCCTGCATTTCTGCACGAACAAACACAAATCCTACATATTCTGCAGCTGCAGTGCACAGGTCCAGGTATTCTGCATGACTCTGCATTTCCTGGAAATATTCACTGCACACTTGGCCATTCCACACTGCACTTGTACACTTCAACCAATAGCTCTTTCGACACCCCACAGACACTAAATCAATAGACGTACCAGCAGTTGTGAGTTCGAGTTCTCGATACAGCGACCATGCACAACACCCCTTTCTTCGCGCCATCATTACACCACATCCGATTGGGAAGTCTTTTGGTGCAGTGACATCTTCGCCAATTGATTTGTCTAATGCCACCCTTGGCGGTGGAGCTGGAACTCCCCATGCAGGTCAACATATGCAAGCGTCTCTTGGTTCAACCGGGAAAACACCAGGACCCAGGCGGGGCTCCTTTGCCATGAGCACGACACGATCAGAGCCAACTTTCTTTCTCTCGCTTGTCATCCGGCCAGGGAGATCAGATGTCTGAAGTCTGTGTGAGCTAAACATAAAGTACCAGGAGCTGGACAACGACCAACCTGCCGTCGCGCGCTGCGTCTGTAGCGGCGTCAATTCAAGTTCAGAATTAATGCCAACTTTCATATGAGACTCACACATCCGTATCCTCGGCGTCGACGGAGATAACACCTGAGCTGCATTCTAGAAGAACTTGGACTGCTTGAGGCCAAGGTGCCATGCCAACAGGAGTTACGTCGTTAATTGAGTCTTGCGGTGCATTCAGCGTGAATAAAGAGATTTCTGGATGCGACACAGCCATGCAAAGGAGTTGAAGGCGATCGTCGGACAAAAACGACGCATCAGACGCGTCGATGGTCTACGACCTGAGCACACAAAGTGAGTTTCAGTAAAATTCAACGCGCTAGAGAATGAGTTACCTATCAGCGATGAGAGCACAAGTGAGAATAATTCTGCCAGAGTTGTCAGACGGGTGACATCAATGATTTACAACGCACGGCACGATGTATTGTGAAAATGGGATTCAGGGGACGGTCTAGACGCACATTGAGATTTTCAGGATCTGTAAGGCAATGTTAGTGCTTGGATAGATAGGTATATGCGGTTGGATGTATACATTAGGCACTTCGTCTGCGGTAAATCGTGGACGACTTTAAGGAATGGCGTAAATGTGGAGATAAGCCGCAGTCTATTTGTAGAGACAAAGCTGCAGAGAGCCCAGAGCATGGTCTAATCTCAAAGTCCGAGGAGGTAGGCGCAATCACTGCGGAAACGACAAAATGACCAGACCCTAAGTGGTCATGGTTGAACGTTGAACCGTCTATCTGTACTCGAACTAGACGTACAGATTTTGATGTTTCACTCGAGAGACAATGTTAACCGGACCAACAGATTAAATAAGAAGACACATGTGTGATGGCTAGATAGAAAGAGTTTCTCTGCAAGTTTCGTGGTTACGTTAGAGGGGGCTTTGTAGCGTACGAAGCCTGTTATTAATGTAATTACAAATAGAAAATAAAATAAACATAGGGCCTCGGGATCCGGGCCTAGAGCATTCCAAATACGCGTGGGGTTCGGCAATCGCCACTACATGCTTCGCGTTTTATGCAATCGTGCTGCCCTTCGAATACGTATGACCAATCTTAGTCCTGTCGCTGTTCTGGCGCGTGAATTAGACCTGAGCGCGTAGACGAAGATCGAAAGACTGACAGTTGGCGTGCTGAACCATTGTCTCAAGTGCTGGGTATAGCGGTCTTGCCGCTGCTCAACGAGAGCTGCTTGCTCCAGGATATCGAGCATGACATTGCTATCCTGATGTCTCATGGGAGTATCTTCTTGACACGGAGAGAAACTGCCCGCTCAGATCCTTCATGTGTAGACATCGGGGGGGGGGGCTGCTAGCGTGGAGCGAGGTCATGTTCATTATGTGCACGTCGAAGGTGGATTGATTGCGCTACGAGTGTGTAGAACAACATCGTACATACAAGGGCATGAAAACGGAGGATACTAGAGTAAAGAAGTAGTACTAACCAGTTGAGGGGCAGGTTGCTCGAACTGAGTATGTAAAGCTCAGTGAGAGAAGCGGGCTCGATTTAAGTGGAATAGTGGAAAACTAAGCTTCGTATCTAACGCGTTGAATCAACCGTGCTAACTATGACCTTGAATGTATCCCTTACGGAACTGTGTACGCGTAACCATTTCATATTCGTGCTCAAGCGCTGAGCGATCAAACTTTAAACTCCCACGCTCTCATCTAGACTTCCTATTGACATTTAGGAGAGTATGTACGCCTTAATATTGATTTGACAGCCTAACCTTTCTCTGTGCAAGCCTGATGATGATTCCCTGCTGAAGCTGCGTTGTTGTGCCAACCCAGATCTGAGTGAGATCTCGGCCAAATTGGACTCCAGATACGCGTGGGTTCTGGAGTCTACCCTTGGTCTGCCTCAACGCCACTGTCTTTTGTTTTCTACAGCTCAAGTCTGCCTTCCAGTGCTATCACTTGGATCAGCACTGCTACCGTCTGCCACTGCTACATCCCCAGAAGAACCCCGTCACAGTTACTAAGCGCCTTCAAGGCAAACCAACTGCAGCCCTGTCGGGCCCCAAAGTCTGCGCTTCTCAAACCCCCTGCCCCTAGCCCGTCGTTATTCGGCGCGCGATTCTCATATCCCCTGTCCCCCAGCCCGTTGTCGTGCGAGGCCGCATCTGAGCTCACCAACGGAGACAAACTGAGGGTCAACCGATCAACTGAGGCTCTGCACCCCGAGACTGGGCTGCTCAAACCCCGCATTCCTAAGCAAAAGTAAAGTTGGAACCAGCAGGGCTATCGCTGGCGCAGGCACGTTAACCACCGCGTTGACTATTGGAAAGAAAATGTTCTAATTTACCGGTTGAAGGGAGTATCGTTGGAGGCCCTTGCAGCTCGTAAGAAGAACGATGCGAAGGAGACAGCGCAGGCCACCATGGACGCCATGAGTAACTGCGAGAGCGACGGCGCTTCAGGCTTTTTTTAAATGCACCTCCGCCGGTTCAGGTACCTTCGTTGAAGTACGGACGAGGGAGTTCCTTGCTCATCCGACGTTCCACGCTCAACCGAACGCTAGTCATGCGTTTGGAAGTCGTATTCACGAAACCGACGCAGCAGGATCGCGTCATCCCAATTTCTGACGACGAGTCGCGCTGATCGTCATCAAACCGCAGATTCAGCCACTTTGAAGACGCGCTCCAAGTCCAGATCACGTCCACCCTTCACGAAGCCTTGATCTCGTGGCTCGCCAAACAGCTCAACCTCACGTTTCTCATCACGTTCCATGCCAACAACCTGTCTTGTCCATAGGGAGTCACAGACTTGGTCCGACTGATCGGGGAGTCGGGACTCAGTTCAAACAAAATCGTCGACGATGGCAATCCTGTGCGCGCATCACCTATATGTGTGGTCATCCGTATCTGATTACGCGTACTCAGGATCTCTACAACAACGCTATCTCACACAATATCATGCTCTACCATCTGTATGACTGGCTCTCTCTCTTATGTTTTTTGGTTGACACAAAGAAAACAGCACTCGCTTGGCGATTTCTGCATGTATTCTGGACTTCAGCTCACGAGACCTGTCCGCACCAGAACCAGAGCGCACACGTTTCATTCTCTCAGCATTTATCAACTTCGTTAAGTTCGCGGAGCAATGTACCCCATTTATTAGCAACGTTCAAGAAAATTCTGTATGGGTTATAGAAGAGCGCGAGCAAGCTATCCAGGAACTCTCAGAAGTCCAGCACAATGTCGCAGTGCTCAAGTAAGATCATTCATATCTCTCTAGCATTCACTTAGCTCAAGGAAGAAAACTACCCAACTTCTTGCAGCACAGGAGGTTTACATTGGACTCGCCAAAGACATTGAAAACCTAAAGATTGAAAGGGCGCATCTCCAAGCTCGAAACGAAACCATCAACTCGGAGTCCGCTCTCCTTATGGACAACAATTTTCATACTCGATCGCGCATTGTGCAATCTCCAGAGCGTATTAGGCGCAATATCATGACTATGGGGACCACAGCTATTGAAGACAAAAAGGCGGTTGCATTGCACAAAGCAAAGGCACGAGATCTGCGGGCAAAATTTTCGGCGCTCGTGACTATCGAAAAGGTCACTTTCCTCGTAGTGTTCGCATCGTGGCCTTGTCTCAATGATCCAGCCAGGATGTCCGGTCATGTATCGAGCAGCTGCAGACGACGGAGAGGGAGGTGCAGCTCCTCGAAGGATCACAGAAGGAGCTCGCAGAACTCAAAGACAGTCTTGAGAATAAGACAGTCGAGTGCGGCGAGCTGCAGAAGAAAACTGAGGTAGGTCATGATATATTCCGTAAATACGCCTGCTAATGCATGTTCCTCAGCGAGTATACAAGCAACTTGGGCGCAGAGACATGCAGAGGAAAAGCGACAAGCCAGTCAACAGACTGTTGAGCGCCTCCAGCGAGATTACGAGAAGATGGACATTGAGCGACGAGAGAACGACAAGCAGGTGGAGGAACTCCGGATGGAAGCGGGCGACATAGAAACAAAGGTAGGTCTTGAGTCCTGGTCTCCTCGCTCTTGCATCCTAATGGTCCTTCGCAGACGGCAGAGCATCTTAAGAACAGTGAAGCAGAGCTCAACGAGCTACTCACGGAATATTGGAAGCTCCGTCACGAGACGGGTAAAAATTTTACTGTCTTTGTATTCATCACTCAATGATATCCAGAGGTATACATGAAAACACTCGCGAACAAATTAAACATGAATGTATCTTCGGACTGAGTGTGCCTACCGGGCCCTCGCGATGCGTAGGTCGACTTGAATTTGTGGTACCTTATTAATTACGTGGTCAGTGGCAGAGGAGCACGACGAAATCATCGGTTTTTCCCTTTCTGTGTCATCTTTAGTGAGCAATTCTGGCATTACCATTTCTTCGTTGGACTGGGGACCGCGCTAAGGCCAGTACACTGCAAGTGGAACTGAGAATGAGTGTTAGTTACTGTCAGGGGAACACCTAGTCCGCTCACGGTCCACAAGCGATCATCTGGGATACAAGCCATGTGAACACCAATCAAGTGAAATGTGTAAGTCATTATGATTTGCAAGCAGATTTGTTTGTTCACAGTTTCGAACCAGAATAATATGCTGGTCTCCTCCGAATGCATGACCCTTTCCGCTTCAGATGGTCTGACACAATTTTCGATGCAGGGTGTAGTATGCATTGGCGACTTTGGGCATACGCAGGTCCTAGACGAAGTGCTCGGGAGGGAAGGATTCACTGCTTATACTGGGTCCTCTAACATGCGTTGGAATGCCCCGGAACTCCTAGGTAGCGACGACATAAAGCCCACCAAAGCCAGCGACGTCTTTGCATTCGGAAAGTCTATCCTGGAGCTTGTAATCAAGCAGGCACCACCCTATTCACACAGAAAACGTGATCTCACTGTCATTATGGACGTCGGCGACAGTCGTTTACCCCTTCGCCCAACCGAGCCGGAAGATATCTCGCGGTGGATGCATGTTGAACTATGGAAAGTTTTAAACAAGCGTTGGCACTTTCGCGGACATGCAAGAGAAACTTCTACTCGACAGCTGACCGGTAATCATGATGCGCCAATTCTTCTTAGCGTAATTCAATCAGAGTCTGAACCTGGATTAATTATAACGGTAGAAGGTCATCCTGAAGAATTGGCATTTAAAAAACAACGTAAGTCGTACAAACGATACGAGAATTCCGTGATGAATCCACTGGCAAGAACGCGCTGTATGGAGAGCAGGATCAGTAAAGACATGGTGGAAGTCCAGGCAAGGTACATGACGTGCAATAGAAGGTACTCAATATCTGTCCAGGATGCCTCGCAAATCCTTAGCTTTCGCATTATCTTCGGCCACGACAGACTTAGTTGTCTGGTCAAGTCTGCATATGAGTTTCTCGACGTCCCTGGGTACCAATGTCGAGTAACCTCCAAGTTGCCGGACTACGTAGAAGGACCATTCTGTGATCAGGCTCATAATCCAAGAAGTCTAAGATAGAATACCATGTTCGTCGACGGCCCTTTCATAACTATCGAGAAGTTTGTCACTCTCAGCGCATACATCTTGGAGCTGAAGAGACAAATCTCCAATCGTTTCCTAGAAAGCCATTGCTAAATTGAACGAGGAGATAAAGGCAACTTTCACAAACTAACTTTCACTCTAGTAAACGTCCGAACCACTTGATCGTGTTCACGCCTTGCAGCATCTTCGAGGGCTTTCGAGCTCTTGTCAAATAGGGCAACTCCACGGAGTATAGTCGGATTTTTGTGATGCGAAAGGGATTTGTGAACCTGTTCTACTCGAGTGACAACTGAAACAAGGGTCTTCCTGAAATGTCCTATTACTTGTCGGCGATGAGCAAGCAATGCTGGCGATAGTCGATCAACGGTAGCTACGCCATCAACAAATTTAGGAGCCTCCTCTGAGTCCTCTCTGACATGATGGTGAGCAACGAAATAATCCCTGGAGGTTGTAAAAGTAGTGAATACCTGTCGTCCAAGAGAGCAATTAGAATCGCTTGCTCGTCCCAGCCAGAGTCCGCGAAATCGTCTTTGTCTTCATGATCCTGGCGTTCTTGAATAGCGTCTTCTGCATCGGTAAATTCGTCTTCTTCGCAATATTCAGTATAGCTGGGAGGTTCTTCTGATCTAGTTGGAGACTGATAGAAAGGTTCGCAGGTACATTTATGCCGATTCCGAATCCTCTGGGAGGGTGAAACAAGTCTGTTACGGGCCATTACGCGTGATTTGTGTGTATTAATCACTGCAGTCCTGCTGTCAGTAACGTCCCTGAAGGTTGACCACGTAGATGGCATCCCTGCCAATTTCAATCTCCGACAGTGACTAGTCTATACAGGGATTACCACTAGTTAGGCGTCAATGGATGGTCACATAATATATCTACCGCTACAGCTCAAACACGTCACCAGTTGATAAAACTTGAAGGGAGACAATGGCGTGAAATTCGAATCCGATTGTATTCTTGGTGCAACTTTTCAGAAAAACACGGTTCAGAAGCAGATGCATTCCAGCACAGGAGGCAGACAGGCAAATTTTTACTAAATTCCACCAAGAATACAACAAATGATTAAATCTTGTACATTCTAGATGGTCATTTATGCACCAGTGCAACATGGTGGGGTGCAAGCGGTAGGTCAACGATTGTGAAGATTCACTGCTGAGTAAGCATAATAAACGTGTCGCGTCGCGTCACATCAGATATTCTGACGCTCTGCAGGCCCAAATGCCAGCACGATACACAAAGCACGACCGTTGGAAACCTTCCAAAAAATGGACAATAGCTCAGCAGCGAGTCACATCACACATGAAAGCTCAGAGCACTCACACAAAATGTCTCTTGAAGGAAAACACCCCTCCTGCAGCTGCAGTTTCATCCTGATAAAAGGGCCATTCTGGCAGCTGCAGCAGAGCGGCTTGCTAGTGGGGAAGTAGTAGGACCCAAGACTGACGAAGCTGCGATGATGCAGGAAATTGAGGGACACGACACCACCAATGTTGAGACTCTCTTAGGGGACTCCGATGAGGAAAATGACTTGTAGATGGCCGCTCCTCTTGATATTTGATAGTCTCGTATAATCTACATCATCTATAGTTCTTCCTGATGGCTCGGCAACCTTGATTTTCGTTGTGTAGGCCTTTGGCGACATCCTTATACCGTCTTGTACTTTGTTGACCACATATTTCGCCGATAATTGATTACATAATGTCACACTTATTTTGGTGGCGCTGCGCCTCCCCACTATATATAATTAACAATCACAAGAATCTCTGTAAATCTGGTGGTGGGGTTTACCTTCATCAGGAAAACCCTCCCAAGGCAAATTAGGGAGAATTCTCAAAAATTCGTAACATTAGCACAATCACAGCTTTTTATGAAGAAAGTAGCTCAAGAGATAATGTTAGACGAGTTTTTTTCTAACATAGTAAGAGTTATTGGGAGCATTCAAGACTGCGCGAAGACGACTCCGACGATGAGTTTGGTGCTTCATAATGACGAGTAGAGGGTATCTGAGTTGAGAATTAATTGAATCCGTCGACAGATGTTTCCTAAAGATTGCCATTTTATGGAAAGTCGATGGGGTGGTCGCGTTCAATGGACTAAAATGGACAATGAAAATGAAAGGCTCGACGACGAATCAGCGCTTCATCGTCTGTGTAAACGCAGTTCGTAGGACAAAGCAAATCATCTTCGAGTTCACAAATCGACAGTCTAACTAAGGCCTCATTGTCTGAATCATAACGAGCAAAGGAGCACAACGCAAACCGGCCGCTCTCTCTCGGCCAGCCAATCATTTGGTCTGGCGTTTGTTATTTCATAAGTCACAAATACTATGGGCATATTCATATTCGTAACGGAGTACATTGTGAGTACGCGTTCGATTCCCGCACTGTGCGTCTTGTCAATAGAGCCTCCGCGTTTGATTCAACCCTTCCCCGCACTACGCATTTTCACAGATTGAGTGCTTTGTCTATACACACCTTTCAAATCACACGCCAGAAGTTGTATCATTATTCGAGAACATGAAGTGACAATCCCATGACTGAGCTGGGAGTGGTATAAGAAAGCTACAGTACAGGTCATTGTTCAAACAACATCGGTAAACATGCGACACGATGTAGTACACTTTGAAAGCCAAATAGATTGAAAATTAGCACAACTCACACTAACCACGCTTCGCTCTCTTGCTTGTTCCAGTGCTGGGGACAGACTCCTCCTCTTCATCGGCAACACGCTTGAGGAATTTGCTGTGCCATGAGCGGTACCTATCGAATCCTGTCTGCTTTGTTGCTCCCTGAAGTTTCCTGTGGCATTGTTTCCAATCAAGTAGCTGACTTGGTGGGGACCAGTTCCTTACAACCTCGAGTGAGGACCTGAAAATATTGAATCAGAACGATCAGTAGATAGTAGTTAGTGCTTACAGGAGCACTTGGTCCTGTGCATGCTCAGTCTGCAGGTGGCTGACAACCTTATCGCGGACTCTCTCCAGCGTGCGCCGGAATATGCGTTGGACCTTCTCTAATCCCTGGTCGTCTCGACAAGGGTAGAGTACCTGTTAATTTGAATAGTCAGCGTTAATGTTGGATGAGTCAAAGGGATTACGTACCGCGGTGGCATAATATGCACCATGATGAATGTTCAAGTCCAATCGCTTGTTAGGAGAGCGAATCCACGTGGTAATGGTAACGGTTGTTGGGTGGAACCATGTATGAGAGAACGATGTGACTCTACCATCTTCCGAGCATGCCAAGTCCTTGAGCTGAACCCCCCTCTGATCCAACTCCTTCTGAAGGCCCCACTCATACGTGGGTGGAATGTGTTTCTGGCCTTCAACGATGCTGATATGGGTGGCAGCTATGACGTTCTCATTCCGATCACCATAAGTCTGCAGCCTCTCAACGGCACTTTCAGAGGTCTCCGAAACAGACACCTCAAATGGCCATAATGGAAGGATATTGTCATCGCGGGTCTGAAGCATTAGTACTAAGTCTGGTATTCCAAGCCGGTATTTCCCATTGGGTAGATCTGATGTAGCGGGTGCATCTACCATATGCGCCATGTGGATAGGTAAGAAAACATCAAAGTCTTCAGGGATGGTAAGAGAATTGATGGCAATCCCCATCGCAGTGCACAAAGGCACCAGGATCGCTTCGTGAATTGCTGAAGGCCATCAGTGAACCAGTGGACAAATTAAATGGTCATATATAACAATATATAGGACATAATCACAAGAATGCACATAAATATGCTATCGTCAATGATATAGTTATGTTTGGCCTTACAAAGGAAATAACATGTTTTGATCTACTTATCAAAGCATACCATTGGGCAAACATCTGTACATGGATCAAATTCAAAGCACAAGGAAAGAAGGCACAACTGCCCATACTTACAAACACATTATTCAAATAGCCACAACAGGACAACAATATATGTCTTCGCCTTGATAAACAATAGCCTGTTTTCTTTGGATGATGTACTTCTTGCTTATGTAGGTTTGCAAAAGACTAGACCCAATGACAACAGTAAGAAAAATGCGTAGATCTAGTTTGAATCAAATTCAGCATCCGCCATCTCCTCCCTCTGCCTAGCCAGAGCATTGACAGACATAGTTGCTTTGGAAGCATGGCTGATATCATCCCTACCGCGTCTACCAAATACTTTCCTACAAGGCTCATATTAGTAAAGCCTTAAGACCAAATAAATAACATACCTGGTCCACCACTCAATAAGCATGTCAACCCTGCGCCTGGCGGTGCGCCCAGGTGGCTTCTCAAAAAAATCAACTATAGTCCTCCAAAATTGAACGTAGTCGAAATCTCCATCTACTGAACGCCAGGAGGTGACAGAAGAGAGAGCGAACCTCACCTGAGGTTGGATTGAAATTTATATCAGAGCAAGGGGATTGATAAATAAAACTTACTTGACAAGCTATGTAAGCAATTGAGCGTGGCGTCACCTTCTTCATATGGATGATATGAGCTACATGTTTCTTGACTTTGATACCATTGCAGCCCTTCTGTGCCCTTCTGTTGCTAGCAGTAATATCTGCGCCATCACCATCAGCCTCAACATCCTTGGCAGAGGAGGGTGAAGTGAAGACCGCTTTGTAGGCCTGCCAAAATTGTTAGTTAGTTTTCAAGATAACACCTACAACTAACCTGAACAAGTATTTTCCCTTTGAAGAGTCCCTCCTCCAGGTTTTGCGCGTTAGCAGTATACCTTTCATAGAGGAAGGCGGGAAAAGAAAGATCCGTGACAAGATACCCATCAGAGCGATTGCGTATGCCGGCCTTGACACTTGTAGTACAAACTGGTCAGAGTCTAGATAATTACAAAGTATAAATGAGACGTACATTGGGTCATTCCAATCAAGTTCTGCAGGACAGAGTAGTCTACCGCAAGCATCATTGATGAAGCCGCGATAGTGTTTGTCGTCACAGTCAATGCGTGGGTCTGGTGTGGCCTCAGAGTCCATATTGACCCATTCTGCAACAAGGCGCTTTAGCTTAGCGGTATCATTACCTCTAGCCATATCAGCACCCTGCCTAAGCTAAAGAAAGGTGTCACAAAAGATTCATTGATTTATTTGTATACTCACCATTTTTAACATATGGCTATACTCGTCATAGTCCATAGCTTCAGACTTCTTTTGCAACCAAGGAAAGAAGATGTTCAGGGCGACATATCCCAACTGGAGGCGATCCTGACTGCATAACAAAATTCATGAGCAAAGCTATGCTTGAAAGCAAGCAGACAAACCAACTCCTTCGTACTGCCGTCCTCTTCATAACGTCTATTATTCTTAGTTATGAGGTCCTCCGCATTATCATACAGAGCCACTACCCGTCTTATAGCCCTTCCTTGAGCTACAAAATGGTTTGTCTGCCTATCCAATTGTTGCAGTAAGCAAAGCGTATTTGATTTGTACTTGAATGTTGCTTCAATCCATACCTTTCTTTAACGGCTCGCCCAGCCTCAAGCGTCTTCAGCTTCTGCTCAAGCTGAGCAATTCTCCTGCACTGTCGAGCCTCTCTGGCTGTTGGCATATCTTTGGACGCCTGCGAGGACAATAAATTATCCGAGTCTTGACTGGAAGACGGTTCCACTGTTTGACGAACATTGTCTCCAACCATAATGGCGTCGCCGTCAACGTCGACATTGACATCTAGTGCGCCATTGCCATCAACGACATTGATATCTGTTACAGATGTTGACATAGTGGGAAGAGAGAAAGTCAGTGAGGTATCTGAAGCAAGATGGGATGTGTGCGCTTAGGGTTTGCATGATCTAGCTCTGTTTTATAGGCGCTCTCCCCAGTTTATTGCTGCCTAAAAAGGACCTCAAGAAATATCATCTATTACCATATTAAGCATGAGTTGCTGCCGCAGGGCATGAGCGGAAGAAATAGTGTTAGTCCTTGCGCGAACAACAAGCAAAACTTTCACACCGTGTCTTTCCCCGCTCCATCCATCCTCCACTTCATGCTTTTTACTGAAGCATTCTTTTCCCTTCCTGGTTTGTTGCATGGGGTGTTGGAGACCTAGGCAGTTTAGGGACCAGGGCGGTTTCCAGGGTGAAGGTGGCTTTTGAGGCAAGCGGATGTCGGCTACAAGTCGTTTGTAGTTTTTAACCTTAATGATAAGCTCACCCCTTTGCATTGACCTGAGTGGTGGGATACGTCTATGACAGAGAGATAGGCTGCAAGTGAGACTGACTATACAAGTTAAGATTATGGATGGTTTCTCCGGCGACAGTGATGGGAGGTTGCAGGCATGGGGGCAAGTTGGGCTCCAACCTGCACTGCGCTAAATCAGTGGAGTGAAGGAGGCTAGTAAAAGCACATACATTAGTACCCTGATAGCATCTCCACTTTCTGACCCCAAGTTAGCCGCAGTTGCACAACATCATGACGCCCTGAAGCCCGCATTAGAAAAAGAACCAGCCAACTGGATGTAAACAGATCAATCCAAAAACTTACCTAGATCACAAAGAGCAAAGATTGAAGAGTGCTAGCTGGATTTCTCCAGGCTAGCCTGAGCATGTGCGTGCCTTCAGTTGAAGGTAAGGTCTAACCAGATGTATCAGAGGTTATCACGATGTAGCAAAGGCAGAGCGCAGACAATCATTGTGCTTCAGCTCACCTGAATTAAACCTGGTCCCTTTCCTGTCCAAGTCTCTGGCTCCCAGCCCATCATCTTAGTAAGGCGCAGCAGTGACTGAATGTTAGCAATGATGGTGATTGGCATCTAAAGAGTTTGAGCAGTGAGGGTTAGTAGTTGAGGAAGAGAGACCAACGTAGTAGAGTAGTGATCGCCAGCAGCAGGTTGACTGAGTATGATGGAGATATCTTAGAGAGCCGCTTTACCCTGTTACACAACATTTATCTATTAAGAACTTAGAACCTCACATCCAATTTAAATTTAACATTAGACTCACCTTATTGCTTCTCAGCACTATGACCTTGAACTTCAAGTCAGATCAAAACATTGTAGGGGGAGACTTGCTGGCTCTGTGGGACCGCGGGAAAGTTGGTGGTCACAACTGTCTCGCGCGACAGTGATGAGCTCAGGCTGTTTGTCAGAATTCCCAGGCTAAACTTGAATCCTCAGGTCATGATGGCGGTGGAGACGCCTGGAACCCACAAATATCTTGAAGTGACAGACTCAGACCTTTCTCTCCTTCTTGCTGCACTAGAACAGGTCCCTGATCAGAACGATTGTCACGCCCAGGTGTTACTTGATAGGATATCTCACAGTTTGAGTTCGTCATCTTCAAGTCATCACAGTTATTTGAGTCATTCAAATGATTATGGTCAAGCCGACTTCGCTTGCACAAACCGGACTAGTAGCACTAGTAGAGGTGAGTACTTGCATTATGCTACTTTGTTGTGAGCTGACCATTGCATTGCGGCTGATACTTAGATGATCATGATACTGAAACGCTTACTGGTACTGTGTCCTGCAACCATCTGAATGTCGATGACAATGATAAAATGGAGATGCCTATCCATGATCATCATGCTGTGGACGCAGCTGCGTCCATACCACAGTGAGCTCATTCTCTTTTACTGTGTTATCACTACTAGGTCTTAATTTGTTTGTTCAAGTGCTACCATGCGCCTTGATTCAGAGACAGAAACATTACCTGTATCTGAGTCTTCACAGTAATAAGTCCGCCCCACACATTCTCTTTTTTTATTGACCTGGATATCCTTAGCACTGCGGATGAACAATATGTCCTTGATTTCCTGAAATCCAGCGTTGCTGTTGATCAGGATACGAGGTCTGATGCCCAGCTGCCCGAGTTTGATGATTCAAACTCCAGCCATTCAGGCTGTGAAGCCCGTCAATCGTCTGCGGGCTTCTTACGCAACGCTAGGTTGACCAAACTTCAGCGTCAAAGTCAACATCCCTACATTCGCAAACACATTCACAACAATGGCGACACCCCCTCTGGAGATGATGCTGCCCACCCCGGGCAAGTCGTGCATGCTCTAATCCCTCCAGACCCCACATGCCCTCGCAACGGCCGGCATTTGGCTCCGCGTGCTACATGGCAGGAGCAGGCTCGTTCCTGCAAGCCAAAGGATATGACTGCTCATGCGCTCATAGGGATGCTGTCCAGTGCTAGCATAGAATCCACTTCGCCATCTTCTAATGTTCATATGTGGGTTGCGGATATCCTGTCTTACCTGGAAGACTCCAGCAGTATCAAGTTAGGAGGAGGTTCGGTAATTGAAGATGTCATATTATCTTGTCAAGCAATCTCGCAGCAGCACACTGGATTCAGCTTCATCATAATGGTTGCTTACATGCAACTCGCCACTGTGTGTCAAAGGTATGTAAAATGGAGCATTTACCTTTGTAACAATTGATTTTGGTTGGGCGTCACAGTATTATCAGGGATTCCGACAGCACGTCTGGTGAAAAGACTAGCATTCTCAAGGTATATCAAAAATATGTCGCCAAGCTCAGGAATCCACCTGTGGAACGTTCTTTCTACCGATGGTATTCAACAGGTTGTAGGTACATCAGCCTGGTGGCTGGCGGGTCTTTCTATATTCTTGTTCTTGCTGCTGGACTAGAGTTGCGCAAGACGATAGCTGAAGTCGGCGGTCATATTTTTTCTGAAGTTGGTCAGATGCTGAGGCGGCCTGAGACCAGCTGTGAGCGTATTGCTTTTTGTATCCTGTGGCGACTTAAAAACAACCTTCACAGCGACACCAACATTGATCACAGGTTCCATAATTCCTACCATAGCGTGGATTAGATCCGCAATGCCCATGTCTTTGGAAAAATTATTTTGCCCTTCTTTTATAGAGCGCGCTGGTATTGGGGAGATATTGGACTGTACAGACATGGCCCTCACTGATAAGGTTTTTGGCGCATTCCAGCAAAAGTAGGTCAATTCAACACTTTACCATAACTTGTATCACTCACATCTCTTAAGTACTTATTCTCTTCCTGCCAGGAATGCGGCAGCTTGGAGCAGCTGCTCTTCACCGGTTATGCGTCCCAACATCGTTATGCGCCAAGAAGGTAACTTTTGTGGTCCCTTACGACCTGCCCTGCATACCTTGGAACAGCTACTTCCTCCTGTACCCTGGACGCCGCACATTTCTGTTATAAAAACAACTTTCAGATGTGACCATATTGATAACAAGTGTTTTCCTGCAAAGACTGATAGGAGGGAAAATGCTGCTTGGACAGAGGGCGAGAGGGCAAAAGCAGAGGCAGCTTACGTTGTTGAGGATGTCGAGGACCTACATAAGATGGTTTGTGAGCTCATGAACTTTGCGTCGCCTCAGTCTCACTGTCCTCTAAGCTGGATGACATTTATGTAGATGGCTGCCGCAAAATGGAAGATAATACCTATTTACGTATTCCGATGGACGTTCTTCAAGGGTGAGTTAATATTGCTCCTCTACATCATGAACATTGTTGAGTGTTTTTTTGTGTTTAGAGGAGAGCTTGAGTTGCGCAACTCTGATGACAGTCTTATGCTCTTTGCCTGTTCATCTCTACCTGAAAGGATCCGTCAGAATCTCTACAGCTCCTTGCTTGCTTGCTTCAATGGAAATGAGGTTTTGGTTGATCAAACGCTGGACAAGGACTTTCACATCCGAGATGTATTGCAACCGCAGACAGATCCCTCAACTACCGTCAGTTTAGAGCAGGTGGTGGAAAATATTATTCAAGGCCCTTTTCAGTGTCTTCATTTTTCCCTTTGGAATCGATATATAACAAACGTAAGTCCTTGCAACTAATGAACTTTCAAATGGAATGTTGATTTGAACAGGGAGATGATGCCCCAACTCACGTCCATCCCCACGATATGGCTCGATTAGACGTCAGTCGAACCAACTACTCGCAGTGTTTGCCCTACCCATCAAGGGATACCCTGCAGCATCAGCAACTTTATCGAAATATTCAGAGTTCATTTGAAGAACTCTTCCAGTGGATAGAGCAGGTGGTGAGTGTAGCGACTTGGTTTCAAATTTCAACTGAAGTCTAATTAACCTTGATTTTCAGGTCAAGAAATGCCTGCCAAGGGAGTACGACGTACTGGTGGAATTCACACAAGATCTGCCAGGAGGATATGTATCGCCTGTGTCCCCTTTTCTTTCCCTTGTGGTCAATCTTAACGTCTCAACCATGGGACATCGCGACAGGTTTGATAAAGATCTGTGTCTGGTACTACCCATAGGGGAATTTACAGGTGGGACATTGGCAATGTTCGAGCAGAGACTGGTTGTTGAGCTCAGGAATGGCGATTTCATACTATTCCCATCAGCTAATACCACACACTTCAACTTGCGCTATGAGGGCAAGAGGGCCTCATTAGTCTGTCACACAGACAGAGGCTTTGAACAGTGGAAGGAAGGGCGAAATGGATGGGGATCCAACCATCACTTTAATTGATATCATTTTTTTTATTTCATACTGCGTACTATGCCCTGAATCAGATGTTGCAATGACGTCATGCCATGTGCTGCTTTTTACAAAGTTCAACCGCCGGTTTGCCGCATAGTAACCTGAACACATCTATGAACATTCCATGCGCAGTATCTGGGAATTTATCTGGATCTTCCTTCTATTGATGGTGTCTTGCGGCGCAGCTGGTTGCTCCTGGGAGCGAAAGACAGATGCAAGGGGCCTCAGCAGGCACCGTACAACATGTCATTTCTACAAGACATCTACAGTTCTTGCCAGCCTCAAGAGACAAGAGCGTGCTAAGGAGGCAGTAATCACAAATTTAACAGGAAAAACGCAACCACATGTGAGTTCTAAAAGCAACTGAGACCTTATGTTTCTAATTAGTATGATGATATTGACACAACCCTCAGCGAAATTCACTGGCCGGGCGGCTTGGAGTGCATCATGGGCCCAGACCTATAGCACCCTGCACTGCCCTATTAGCACAAGCTGCAGGGCACACCATGTGCTTTGACACCTTTCCCCTCGATCATAAGGGAGACTCTGCTTTCGGGACGCAGATGCGGAGTGATGATGATCAGGTTGGGATGCGGCAAGATGGGGGGGGGGGGGGGTAATGGAGTTGCCAGATATGACAACATTTTTGATGCCTCAGGTCAGTACTATCTCTTGGACGGTGGCTGGTGCAGTCGGTCATCTTCTTATCATGGTCCTTTAACTGTTATGCTGTTCAGGTGACCAGGAGCCCTTGCGTCCTGCTAGACGATTTCCAAGACATTTCACAGACACCCTGCCTTTGGAAGAAGATCTCAATCACTCAGATCACAATGATGCCGCAGCTCCAAGCCCCCCTGCCCAATTCAGAATAAAACGAGTGCTTTTGATGCTTCGAGATACGCTCCAAACCTCCTTCAACTCATTTGGTCTTTCTTGTTTATATCCTCGGCGCCCCTCATTTGAGCCAGACAAATTCATTCCATCATCACTACTTGCCACGACATCTCCAACCATCCTTCAGTCACATGAGTCCAGTTTGTCTTCAATAATATCCGGCCCTCCCTACCCCTTTCCCAACATGACCATATATCGTCTAATGTCTTGGATGAATACTGGTACCAGTCGATTATCGGAATCCAAGGTTGCGAGCCTTGTCAAAGATGTAATACAAGCGGAGGATTTTGATCAAAAACATCTCGACAAGTTCTCAGTGAAGAAAAGCTTACGATGCTTGGATAAGGAATTGGATGGAAAGAAGGACAGGATCGCATTCCCAGATGACTGGATTGAAACTAGCGTCACCATCAGCATACCTACCAAATCCAAGGAGGATGACGCAAGGCCTTACACTATTCCAGGATTCCATTTTCGCCCTCTTGTTGAAGTAATATGCGCCGCTTTCTCTGACATTCAAGCTGGAGCTTTCCACCTGTTACCCTTCAAACGAGTCTGGAAAGACCCTCTAGATGATCATCAAGAGCGTATATATGATGAGCTGTATACATCAGAAGCTTGGCTGGAAGCTCAGGACGGTATTCAGAGGCTTCCAAGAGAACCTAGGTGTTCTTTAGAAAGAGTCATTGCAGGCCTGATGTTTTTTTCAGATGCCACGCATCTTGCAAATTTTGGTACTGCAAAGGCCTGGCCTCTTTACATGTATTTTGGAAACCTTACTAAGTATGTGAGATCCTCGCCATCATCAGGGGCATGTCACCTTGTGGGATTTCTGCCTATGGTGAGCCCTTTTGTCACCAGTGATGGCATATTTCATTAACATAATTGGTATCACAGCTTCCTGATAGTATTAAGGATATTCTGGCCAGCCTACCTAGCATGTCAAAAACTGGATTGTCCTCCCTTCAAACACACTGCCGCAGGGAGCTGTTTCAAGCATGTTGGGATATTCTGTTAGATGAAGACTTTTGTCATGTGTATAGACACGGGATTATTCTGAAGTGCGCCGATGGAGTTCTACGCCGCGTGTTCCCAAGAATATTCACCTATTCAGCTGATTACCCAGAGAAGTATGGTACATCTTTTGATATTCACATATTAAATGTCTAATGTACGCATTTTCAGAGTCTTAATAGCGACTATCAAGGATATGGGATGGTGTCCCTGCCCATGCTGCCTCACTCCTAAATCCTCATTTGGTTTGCTTGGCCTTGCAAGTGACATGGCAAAGCATTTCAACAATTTAAGGTCGTATGCACGTACTGGGGTTATGAAGGCTAGAGAATTTATATATCAATCAGGAAACACTGTTGATGGGGCAAAGGTAGACGATGCTCTGGGAGAAGGCTCATGGGTACCTGTGCTGGTAACCTTATTCTTTTTTATAGCTGTATTGATCACTCACAGCTTGTGGGCATAGAATCGATTTGCTGAGAAGCTGGGATCATTAGGACTAGACCCATTTCGCATGCTGGTGGTGGACTTTATGCATGAGTGTGAACTGGGAACATGGAAGGCTCTATTCACCCACCTCATCAGGCTTCTGTACGCTATACCCGGCGGTGATAAACTGGTGGCAAACCTTGATGAAAGGTATGAGGCTCCGCACATTTTCATTGACTAACTACTAATATGAGCTCAATATTCTGGCATCCCAAGGTTTCGCCAGGTTCCTTCCTTTGGCAACGGTGTGATAAGAAGATTTGCTAACAACACGTCTGAAATGAAAAGGTTGGTGGCAAGAGATTTTGAGGATATCTTGCAGGTATGATGTTTCTACATCATGCATTAGCGTCAATAACATCATCTATTTAGTGCTCTATTCCTGTGTTTGAGGGGCTGTTCCCAGCGCCTCATGACTCAATCATTCAGTCCCTCCTATATCGCTTTGCACAGTGGCATGCTCTTGCAAAGCTCAGGATGCATTCTGAGTCTACGTTGAGTGTTCTACAAGAAACATTCACTAATTTGTCTCAAAGGTTGCGCCATTTTGCTTTTTACACTTGCAATGCCTTCAATACTGTGGAACTGCCGAGAGAGAGGGCTACTCGTCAGAAAAGGGCTTCTCAGGGTTCTGGCGCTCAGAACATGCCCTCTGGCTCCAATGGCCCTAGGGTCAAAAAATTCAATCTTGCGACATACAAGTTTCATGCTATGGGAGACTATCTCAACACCATCAGATTCTTTGGGACAACGGATTCATTCACTACACAAATAGTGAGTCACTAATTCATTGGGACTGTGTCACAATCTCTCAATCAGCTAACATTATGACAAGGGAGAGCTTGCTCATAGAGCACTCAAGGCTTTCTATCCGCTTACTAGCAAGAAAGATACGCCATTGCAATTGGCCAGACATGAGAGACGTAGACGAGTATTGAGGAGAGTAGCAGAAGCTGGAGCTTTGGCTGCGTCTAGCAATAGATTATCCACTGATGCTTCGCCTTCAATATCTGCAGTAACCGGTCACAGTGTTGGCACCAATCAAAACACCCCAGTCAAGTTGTTCACCTTTCTTGGGCAACATGCAGGAGATCCAGCTCTCAAGGTATAATAGCATAACTTGAATACATCTCCAACGCTCATTTTATTTAGGGCTTCATACCAAAACTAAAGGACCACATCCTATACCACCTACAGAAGCTGGACATTGATTATTGTGACCACACATTCTCAGAAGAAGAGCGCAACACTGTGATCATTCCCAACAATACAATATACTCTGTGCAGACTATGCAAATTCACTACACAACTTATGACCTGAGAAGAGAATACGACACCATCAATCCCAGAACGCATCCTGATGTTATGGTGCTTACTGGGGAGAAGACTCCTACTCATCCATACTGGTATGCGCGCGTTCTAGGTATCTACCACATGGACGTATGGCTCAACCAAGGAGTTCGTCCATCAAAGCAACACCTAGAAGTCCTCTGGGTCAGATGGTATGCAACTCTACAGACACATGAATCTGGGATGCACATTGCACGTCTTCCCAAGTAATGGAGAAACAGGACGATCACTGATTGGCTGACCTGGGTAGTTTCTAGCAACTTGTGCATAAAGGTGACAAAGGTGGGTGTTGCAGTTGAGTGAAGAGAGGATGTTGCGGCAGTAATTTCAGGGGAGTAGGGAGGCGTGAGTGGTGGTGTAGAAGCAGAGCTCGAAAGAGACACCGAGAACCATAGGAAGCATATCATTTTGCAAATTTTCTCTGTGATGTAATGTGATGATCTCTTTAGAGAGTCATCGAACCAATCAATTGGCCGAGGGGCATCTTCGGATACTGGAGGCTTTTGGTGAAAGGGATGTGCATGCTGGTCCAACTGTTCAGGTGACGGGCGAGGGGTGTGAACGGGTCACGACCAGGGTGACGCGTCTTGAGTGCGCGGAGGTGTTACTTTTGCTAGATCAAAAACGAGACATGAGGACAAAGGCAAGAAACACGTACTTGGATGCATGTACTAGGTGGCAGAGACGTGACCTGTGGTGCGCGGGTGTCTGGTTATTGCCTGATCTAACCAGCATAAAGAAGACAAAGGTAGATGAGCCTTAAAATTGATTAGAAGACTAAGCACAACGTACTTGAATCCAGTACTTCCGAGTTAGCACACCCAATGTCAGCCCTCACACGACGATTTTCATCTAGTAGATTTATCGCGGATACTACATCCCAACTGTTGTCAGTGAGTGTTCATTGATCCATGCAGATACTAGTGTCCTATGTCTCACCTGTTTACTAGTCCAATGCAGCGCCAGACGGCTCAAAGCATAGTGTAAAAAGCCGTGACATAGTGTGGCAAAAACTTCCACATCCTGCTAGTGATGTGAAAACACCACCCATACTTGAAGAAGTAGCCGCCCCTACTATACAAGACGTACAAGACGCCCCCGAGCCCATCTACTGCCACCCGAGCGAGTCAGACAAGCATGCGGTTAGCACTGTGCAGCAGTTCTTCTCCGTCGCTACATTCAAGTTGGGACACATCATAATGCAAGGGTTGCCAGTGGTGCTTGGTGATATTGTGTCGCATTGGTTGTATTTGCTGCTCTTGTGGCTTTTCCCACTTGCTGCAATGCTTCTACCTTTCACAGCTTTGTTTCACGTCTCATTTCCCATCACCATTCATTGTTACTTTCCTCGCATGATTGGAACATCATGTAACTATGGCCTCAACATATCAGACCAACTTCCAGCAACTATATCTATGGCTGCACTCTCTGTGATTGAAACCACTGCTCCATCAGTTGCATTAGCTGCACCTTCACTCATGGATCACATCACAGCGTCTAGAAGCGACTTTGTAGCTACATCTGGGGTGTTCGGTCCTCCCGAGTTGGCCCCGATAGAGGAGCATGTCAGAGTGTTAATAAAGGATGTCCTCAATCAACACTCGAAGGACACCACAGCGCTCCGTGACTATGCCCTGCGGTCCGGAGGTGCTACAATAATTCCTGAGTTCACTTCTGAAACTTTTTGGAATCTTTCTGTTGGACGTTGTTGGTTATTGAAAGTCCAATCACTCTTTACGGGAATTGACCTACAGTTGCTGCACGGCCTCTCAGCAGAGACAGTGCTCCTTGATGATATGAAACATGGAGGGTGCTGGGCATCTCCAGGTTCTCACATACGGCTCGGCATTTCTCTACCTCACCAGCTTTTTGTTGAACAAGTGACCATTGACCACGTACCTCTTCCGGTTGCGCAAGACATCACTACTGCACCTCGAAAGGTTATCATCTGGGGTTTAATCTATTCCGAAGAATCAATCATTGTCCCCCCTGACCTTGATTTTCAACTGAAAACTACTGTCATGATGGGCGGCTCATTCACCGGAACATACCTGGAGATTATCAGCTTCGAATATGATGTCTTTCATCAGACTCACATCCAGACTTTTGCAGTGTCGAGGGAAATAGTGGGTCTTCAGGTTGACTTTGATGTCATCGTCGTGGAAGTAATGAGCAATTAGGGATCACAGGTAGCGACTTGTATGTATCGGGTGCGCATACATGGATCGCCCATATACAGGGAACGAGAGGCATAACTTTAAGCTACGCTCACAACACACTTACTTTATCACTTATCACATGGCCCTTCCCTTTATATTCCATCACTTTTCATATCATATACAACATGGTTCCTGTGGCATAAGTACTTACATTCCTATGTCCATGCCATTCCCAGCAATGAGGAAATAAGTAACATCAGTCCCATTGCAGTACTGCTTCTCACATGACTGCAGCATGAGTCAATTCTTGACTAGTGGCAGTCATGTCTTTCTAGCGAAGAAAGTCGTATAACATAAAATCTGAGTTCAATAGGAAGAAAGCATTCAAAGTGTGACTAAAGGGGGGAAAACACGAACATAAACAGAAAGATGTGCCTTTGCACTGGCTTCTCAGCACGATGCTGTTTCTTACCATAATGCTATGATGATGTTATACCAAGGTACCATGGCTGTCACTCTGAACGCTTGTGAATTGTAGCCGAGCCACATCAGCTCTACCCTAAACCTACCAGTCTTGCAACTGTCAATGAGGACACTTAGATTGTCCTGAAAACACAGGGCAGAATCTCATCTGATTGGCTGCTTCCAGACATGACAATAGATTATCACGCTGGTACAACAGGTTGATCAGACATAACTTTTGTGTGAATGACGGAATTCACATTGTGTGCGAATTACACCTTGAAACTTGCAGGAAGAGTGGTTTTGTGGCCTGGATGTAAAAGACTTGTGATCAGTGCGCTTGGCAGCACTACTTGAGTCTGGAAAAGAAAGTGCAATGAATTCGAACTCACAACAGCGCAATGCATCTGCCGTGGTGGAATGCGAGTATGCACCAGTACACGATGACCTGTCATCACCCTGTTGTAGGGCTCGCAGCGAAAGTTTATGACTCCAAAAAATCAATAATTATATGGGAGACTCAACAAACATGAACCAGAGACAAGCCACCTCATCTAGGACGGAACGTCAACCACAATTCGGCTGCTATTGATTCACTCAAAAGCTAAGGAGTGCTTTAGAGTCCATATGGCCTGAGAAGTCTTGGAATACAAGCTGTTTTTATCGCAAAAATGACAATGAGAGGGTTCTGGAACATCTTGGTGCTATCAAGTACACTCGATGAGAAGAAAACGCACAATTACCAGAACGATTGTTAGAATGGAAGAGACTGGGCTTCACACTGCGGCAGGACCGCTTCAGCACGGCAGCCCACAGGTAGCCACAGGTGTAAATTGCGCTGGCTAGATGAATGGTCATCACACCATTTTTAAGACTGCCAGAGCAATTATGCGTCAAATCCTAGAATAAAACTAGTACTGAGAGCTTGTTTGTCCCAGGCGGACTTGTGAACAGCCTGTTGTGGCTTGATGTGTGACAGTGCGTGACAGTTATTCATTTAGCTCGTTCACCGTTCCCTTCTGCCATTTCTCATCGTCATGCATGCTGTCCCTCCATCAATGCATCACTTCCCTCTCCAACTACCTCAACGCCAACTTATTCTTCAGGGGCCATATAAATTATATTTTCTGGTGACAGTGTCTGGAGCATTGAGGAGGATTAGGGTAATGTTTTCTTGCTTTGCAATGACGGGGCTGAAATGTATCTGTAGCTATGATTGACCCTCAAATGTCCTGTAAAGCCCCCAAGTTATCAGGACGCCCTGTTTGGCACAATGATTCACTGCAATTGGCATCCGATGAGTGCGATGGGAGCAGAGTCAATGACGAGTGTGGTGACGACTTCAGCGACACTTCCGCATTGTGATAGTGGCTGTAGTGTCTCGTCTTTTCTGTCATTGCTTCTATCTACCGTTGCTTGAATTATGCATACATGCATCGCTACCCTTGTATGTGAGTCAGCTCCACGTGTCCTCGTGCTCATCCGAAATGCACAGCATTCTCATAATTTTCTGGTGATCCTTGCAGGAAACATGCACATATATCATTCAATCAGTCTTTGCTTTTACTCGCAGCTATTTGATGGGCGACTTCAAGCTGCACTCTCACCTTATGCAGAACCTGCATGTTCCCAGTCGTAGTTATGACATTGGTCGATCGAAGCCGCCTGGGCGAGCGTTTTAGAGCGCATATATCCTCGCTTTAGTCGACCGTTGCATATGTGTATTTGTTGTGACTTGGAAATAGGTGGGAGGCGCATATCCTGGTTGCGTATGCCACTTCAACTGTTTATCTGATGCAGGATACACTGCCGCCCTGGATGCCGTCAAGGAGAATGTCGAGGTTCTGTGGAAGCTTGATGTTCTCAAAACCTCACCAACTAGCGAGCTCATCACACCTCCTGAGGTGGCTTCACTGGACACTGCTTCTGCCTTGCAGATGTCTGAGACAGAGACTCGGACAGAGACTCAGGCAGACGCCCAGGAACCGTCACTCGAAGATCCAGTAGTTGAATCATCACCTCATGTTCGTGACCACCTCGCCACCCAACTTCACTGGGATGAACTCCTCGTTCGAACCCCTCATGTCCCAAGAATATGCCTGATTCATTCCTCTGGGTGACGCATACTCCTCTTGTTTACGACGCCTTGCCTTCCTTGCCTCCCACTATCTTAAATTTGACTCCTCTGCACTGGCTGAAGAACATATGCCTAGGTGGCAGGTTTTGCGTATGAAACCCCTGCTGAGGGTCTTTTACTGCTCAATGAAGGTGTGCACGTAGTTGGTATGAGCACCATACCTGAAGTGGTGGCTGCGTGAGAAGCGAATCTCGAGGTCATGGTGCTGAGCCTCGCTACTAACCAGGTAGTCGTGCCTGATACCTACAGGAGTATCAAATTAGAGGTTGAAGTGTTCTCTACAAGCTCGACGATCTTGTCCGTCCGTACATTTACAAAATTCTTGCACTATATAGGCCTCCCCTTGCCTTTACTGCTCAGCAATACCCCACCCGCAAATACACGTATTGAGACATTTTGACTTCTATGGTTAGGGCAACTTCGCTGTCACTGAGGAGGATGGGGTCGGCATTCTCGACTAGTGATGTGCTTGAACCATTCAGCGAGCCTGATCAGCTTCAGCAATAAATGTCTGTGATAATTTGGCGAGATACAACTCACGTAAGAACTGCAGCAGGGAGCGTAATATCAACTGATGGGAGGGATCGCAATGCCTTTTGCTCTACTGCATTCAGAGATGCAAACCAAATCTCATCATAAAAGTTCTTGGGAAGACCTGGAACCGGGCTAGTCTTCGTATCGATACAAGATGAAGGGTATCTGCGATGGGGGAAAGCCCCCCGGCGAGCCCCCCCATTAGTCTTGAAACGAGTCGATAGGTGTAACATATCAAACACTCGTAGAAAATCTGTGACCTCAGGACTGCGCCAAGGCATCTTGGTGACCAGATAACGAGTTTTGCCTCTACGGTGTTCTGCTTCATCACCACTCATGACCTCGTAAGTGAGCAACTCCCATAGCCCTTTAAATTTCCGAACACCTCGATGAACATTGCAGGACTCAGCGCGACAAGTGCGAAGCTGCATGGTATTCAGAGATTGTGAGTTATCGCCAAGAAATTCCATACTGATCGCCGTCTCGCATCTGCCGCCTCTGCCTCCCCTATGTCAAGTTCGTCTTCTGGGCACTCATCCTCAGTCTGGCATGAGCACTTGTACTGTCTCTGAAGTGCAGGAATATGCCTCTTAAATGCTTGAGCTACAGCATCAACATCTGCACATGAGAACCATCCGGATTCCACAAAGTAAGCGGCAAAGAGTTGAGCAACTGTCTTATTCCATTTATCCGCCAGCTTTCCAAGGATATTCACTCTAAAGTTGTCAAGAGTTGGGCCACCTGCTCCTGTTTTCTCGAAATTTTCGATATCTTGAGTATTCGGTAAAGGACCAAATGGCGCATATTTGTCCTTCCTCTTCATGAGTTGCAATGTAAGTTTGCAAACTTGTGACTGTTGCGCCATAATAAGCATTATTTAGAGCGCCATCGTAATTAGGACACATCACTCACATGAAGATTGTTAGTCTCAACTGAATGGTGCTGAGTTTCTGCACATTTTGGCTTGGGTACGCGACTACGGAGTTGGTGGGACTCAGCGTCACGTTGAACCCTATCCTTAAGAACATGTTTGAGTGCACCAAACATATCTTTACATGTATCCAGAATGAGCGTCAAAAGGAGTATGATATCCCCCTTGCTAGCTGCCTCATCCTGATGAGAGTGAAACCATTTGTTCTCACCAGATAAATGAACAGACTTACCTCAGGACAGTCGGCGAGAGTTTTCATAGCGTGATGCTAGATGAAAATGATAATCCATAAGATGATTCAAAATCGCCTAAGACATTGATACTCACAATTCGGTTGTCTTTTCGTCCAATGTCTTCACGGTTGACATTAAGATCCTGATTGTCATTGTCATTTTCATTGTCATCCCAGTCGCTATGGTTATACTGGTTGTCATCACCACTACCATCTTCGGTATGATCTGCGTCTTGATTCAACGTCTCCACCACAGGATTGTAATTATTATGTTCGAAGGAATACTCACTGTCACAGTCCATCACACGACCCTTGCCCTTGGACGTCCCGGGAGGCTTGAGAATCTTATGCCTATGGTAATGTTGCTGCTGCCCTTCGCTTGACGATGAGTTTGCACATGACTGCTCATCATCGGAAGGAGCATTGGAGTCGACAGTACTTCCGGCTTCAGAATCGATTCCTTCGTTATCAGATTCAGGATACTGGTAAAATAGTGCTTCACATGTGTCTGGTCTTTCATCCATTGCGCGACCTTTGACTTTTGATATCTCTGGCAGACTGGCGTAATTGGATTCATGGCAAAGCTCCTCCAGCTCATCCAGCTCATCACTCGAACCATTGTACGATTGTTTTCAGAAGAACCATTAGAATATCTGTCGCCAAAGTCGCTTCTGGCGTAAGATTCAGGATGCTGGTGAGATGATGTCTCAAGTGCATCCAGTATATCTGTGCCAGATTCCACGCCACTCAGGTTCATGATGCAATCTTCTCCTAGGGCTTCCGAAGTCCGGTCTTCATCACACTTGCTCGATGAGTACGATTCAGAACGGTAGTGCGATGCTTCGAAGTTAATGGTGTCACCATATTCATCAAGACCACTGTTGACCAGATCCTTGCATGCGCTGGGAGATTGTTCTATAACATAAGATGAGAATAAAGTGCTAGGGCACCCCACAGTTCTGAGCGCATACCCAAGTATTTCGAAATAACTTGTGAAGGAATTTGGGTCGAAGCTTGACATGTGGTGGCTGCTATGAGGCATCAGATCAAATCAAAAGAGATGTAAATGACTTAACTACCTGCAGGATTATGAGCTAAGAAGTCATCTTCGCAATGGGAAGAACAAGCAGTGTCCAGAACGCCTGAAAGCAGGCCGTGTTAGTCCCTTTTGATGATTCAGACATGTGGATGTACCTGGTGCAGTGGCATCAGGGATTTGTGGCCAAGGAGGACATGACGAATTCTCCTTAGACAGCAATACTTTAGGAATGTAGGGTTTTGACTTGGCTACACATTTCTTCTTGCGAATAGCGGCAACCAGCCGAGGGGCCAGTATACTGTGACAGGGGTATGCGAATATTTTCATGAGTCTTTACACGCTTATGACATGGCGAGACACTGCGCTCTTCATGATCGGAGTTGCGAGAATGTTTTGCAACTGGACGGGGCGCTGGAATACCGTGACGATTTCCTTTGGTAACTTTTTGACGCTTACGAGGTCGTGCCTTGCTATGAATGCGCTCTTCGCCCAAATCACTCGATCCCGCGGGCGAGGGCGATGGAGAGCTGCGAGAATGCTTTACAGCTGGCATATGAGACATCAGAGGATGGATGGGGAAGAAATAGAAAGATCATGATTGCAATATATAACCTTGAATTTTGAGCCGCTCCATGAAATCTAAATGTGAATGTAGGGCAGAAGAAAGAGGGACAAAGAAAGCTTGCCATTGTTTGTTCACTTTGTTAGTTCGCTCATGCAATACTGAGGATGATATAAAGCAAGATCAAGGAGGCGCCTTGATTGCGGGAAGTTCGGGTGAGAGGCCTTAGATAAAGTCAAGTAAGAAATTCTAAGAATAGCACACTCAGATCAGTGAGATCGCTCCATTTTGCAGGGCAGTCCAGCTTGGCTGCGGCTGCTGGAGAGTCAGTAAAAGAGCCTGTGAGCGCTGAATGTTCTAGATGTTCAACCTCGGGTCCAGACAGATGGCCTGTTGATGTTGGTGGTGGGCCAACATTTAAATTAAAGTTGGTTTTGAGTCTGTGTCAGCCGAGGCACGAGCCTCGCTAACACAGATTAAGTCTACGCATTAGTAAGCGAGGTGGCGCATTGCACCTTCAAGTTACTGTCTTCGTATTGTCTACTCTATAACTCGTTCATTCATTGCACCCGCCCACCACTCCCTTTCTCAGGTTAGACAAAACCCTCAATCTCATCCAACACACCAGCATTTTGTCCAACGCACTGCGTTCGCTTCCTAAGGATTCAAGCTTCATGCGGGGCGGCCTGATCAGTACCCGCCCGCCCATCACATGCATCACAGCTCACCTTGAAACCCTTAGGTTCGTGCACATGCACTGGGCCGAAAAGCCAGGCTTTTACCCTAACACCTTCATTTTTGTTGACTTAGTATACTTTGACTCGCAATATACAGTTCATTACTCAATTCACCTTGTTTACCGCTCGCCGAACACCACACATCGAGGGCGTAGAGTGCATTCCCAGGTGTGTTGGTGACACGCGTACATACTCTTTACTTGTTTGAACATGCTTGTTTGCAGGCTCACGAGCTAGCTCAAACTCTTGTGTGCTGAAACAATGTTAGCCATCCAGCTACCAGGGTCTGATGTCTTATATGCACTTAACGCTCTATTTGAGGAGCACCCAAAGGCAAGCATTGGCAATGACGGCCTCATCAAGCTTCCCATCGAGGAGTTGCCACTTCTCTTACAGCCATTCTTTCCGAGAGTTGAGGACTTATCGAGGGTCATTGCGTTACTAGCTGATTCCCACCGTGACCCCCATACGAGAGTGTGTGCATCGGATTTTCTTGTGGCACTTGACCTCTTCTTAGAATCTGCATCGACTCGAATATATGGCAATTGCAACATAACTCATGATCTAGATGATGAGACACCTTCGCGTGAGAATGGAGCATACACTAAAGTCTTGCGCCATTGCGAAGATCTTGATCGCCGCTTGGATGATGTGGTAGTCCGGTTGGACGCATTAGATTTAGAAGACTTACCAGCCATGGAGCGCCGAGTCGCTTATGCCTGCAAAGAAATTGTAGGTTTAGTTTCTGAGTTCAAACATACATCGCTTATATTTCGATTCCAACGAAGAGGACCTTAAATCATCATCACACCAGGGTAGAAGCCGAATTGTCGCAGACATCAAGACAGGTTGTTGACGTCTCCCGGGATCAACATTTGCTTCAGACACGATTGAGTATGTTTTATAATTATCTGGTGTTGCCTGCTGAGCCTTTGTCTAGAAAATTTCAAGTCGTCGTTATCGAACCTCCGCAAAATGCAAGTCTCTCTTCCTACAGCCCAAACAGATAGGGAGGTGGAATCTGCTCAGGCTGGTGGTGTTCGTTTTCTGAGCCGAAATCTCGCTAATAGCTATAATGATGCTCTGCCCAAAAATCCTGACCCATATCCAACATCGTGTACTCCGTGGGATCATCTGGAGCCCCTTCAGTGACAAATTCCGTATTATACGGGCCACCCGACCTGCATAATATCCCGTACAAGACGGGCCAGCGGACCATGGGCCCATGTTGTGTACATCCTCGATGATGACAGGTGGGCCGGAGGGCATATTATTTCCGTTGGAGATGGGTGGGCCCATGCATGGCAATGATATATATTTCATTGATGTTCACAGATGGGCCGGGGGGGATATTATCACCAATGGAGATGGGTGGGCCCATCTGGGCAATATGTAGAGTAGGGTGTATTACATATACGGGTGGGCCGACGTAAGGTGCATTACATAGATGGGAGGGCCGAAGTAAGGAAATGTCACATATACGGGTGGGCCGAGGGTGTGGTAAAATATTTATCGCATAGACAGGTGGGCCGACAAAGGGAGTATTGTATATATGGGTGGGCCGATGTAGGGTGTATTACACAGATGGGTGGGCCGAGGTAAGGAAATGTCACATATACAGGTGGGCCGAGGGTAGTGTTGCCGCTGAAGCGAAGTGACTTCGAGGTAAATTCGCTTCACTTCGAAAACATGAGACTTTGGTTGACTTCGTTGTTCCGAAGTCAGTCGAAGTGGCACTTCATCCACTTCGAGAGGTGAATTGAAGTTACCACATAGATTAATCATTAACACTTGCATGTCTGAAGCCTGTTATGTCCCTCCTAACTATATCATATTTCATTGTAAAACATCACTGTATGTCCTAAGTACATTCAATATAGGCTTCTCACACATGATCTCGAACATTCGCCGAGTCGGTTCTGTGATATTGAACCGAAACTTGAGAGAAAGGCTACCCTGAAAGTTTCACCCTCACGGTCTCTGACTCTCTGTCTCGAAACAAAATTTCCACTACTCCCCATGTACAATCCAACAGCAGGTTTTCTTCCTAGTAGTCGGTCACAGTTTCCTTCATACTCACCTGCAACACTGGGTATCCCAAGGCCTGAGAGCTCCAATAGTCATAGCCCATCAGTTTCACCATTAGTGACACCAAACGGATCTTTCGATGCTTTGCGAAACCTCTCTCCACCTCTGCATGCCCCTCCTGGTAACCACTATGCCCAGTATATGATGCCCATGCAGCATGTCAAGCTGCTGCAGTAGATGTGGGGCCCAGGCCCTACACGACCCACTTTGAATTCGAGTCCATCAATCCTAATGCACCAAGATACAGGTGTCCTGCAAGACTCAACTGCTCCTGTCATTAACACGGGAACAACAGCAAAAAAGGGTGGCCGCTGAAGGATCTTCAACTCAGCGGAGGGTGCAGCTGATATAAATGTTGAAGGGAAGAGTAAGAGTGCGATAGGCTCGTCCCTTAGGTGATGCAAGAGAGCTGGGATCCACAAATATAAGCAACTCTAGGGGTAATGCACGAGGTGCGCAATAAGGCGAAAGCGCGGGAACAAAGGCGCTATAGGGGCGCGAAGCGCGGGAATGTCGCGTGTTGTAAAGCGGAACTGGGCGAAAGCGGTAGGCGAGACTTAATGAGACGTTAAGGCGTGAGGTGTAATGCGGATATGACCACTAGAGCTAACTGCTACTAGGGCTTGTGATGATATTGTTCAAAACATAGATAAAAACTCGTAGTAGTATGATGGTAGTAGAAGGTTGTGGTTGAGAGATAAAGTGTCAAGTTAAAAATGTAAAAGGTAAAAGGTAAAGTGTAAAGTCCAGTAAAATAAACATGGTACGATGTTCAAATAAATGATAAATGGAGAAATACACACCTGGGAACTTGGCTGGACATGGGAAAATACTCTGGGAGGTCAGGCGCCCTATGGCGCTTAGGCGCGGGAAAGTTCGCCTAAGGTGCGCGCAAGTCGCGCAAGTGTCGCCTATGTCGCATTTGTGTCGCCTAAGTCGCGCGCGTCGCGTGAACGTCGCGTTTATCGCGCAAGTGTCGTGTTGTATGCGTAGTACTGTAGTCATGACCTACATCGCAATATGGGCCATTGTGAGGCTACTCAGGATTGAGTCTCTACACCGCAAACATAAAAAACCAGTTGAGGGCACAGATGATCAGAGTAACACTCGGAAGCAGAGCAACAAGAAGAGAAAGTCGAATTCAGGTGCCATGGCACAGCCACCCAATGCTGCAGCTGTTTGTGGTGTTGGTCCGGTTTTGAATCCTGCATCAGAGAGTGTACCTGCTGCAGAACCAGCAGATGTACTTGTCCCTCAGCATGAAAATGCAAATGTAGGTGGATCTCGCCAACCACGAGAGTCGAGGGCAGTTGCAACTGATGTTTGGTACTTTTTGTGGGCCCTGAACGACAAGGAGAGGCCAGACAAGATGCCAGAAAATCAACCTCGATTGATGGCAAAACCAGATTGCAAATACGTGGCATGTTGTCTTTGTGGGTGAGTCCTATATAAATTCCTTTGGTTGTCAAAAATTTGAACATTATGAGGACAGTGATGACGAGAAAAACCCACGATGGAAGGTGTGGCAGCTTAGAGACAGGATGACATCATGCTACCGCGAGCATTTTGACAACCAACACCACCAGCTTTGGAAGCAGATATGTAGGAATAGGTCACTTAAATCTAGGCATCGAGCACATCATTCTGTGAGCGGAGACTAACGGGTATTCTCGGCAGAAATGTTCCATCACCTGTTGATGCGTTGGGTAGCTGTTGATGATCAGGTGTGTTTGCAGGCTGACTCGAACCTAGATACTGATCTCACAAGTCATTTTGTGTACAGAGCTTCAATGTCTTGGAATGTCCAGAGTTTCGGGAGCTTCTCTTATACCTTGGTGATGGGAAAATCAATGATGCCGAGCTCCCTCACCACACGAAAATAACGCAAATGGTCTTGGATGAATACCGCACAGAATATAACAAGACAAAAGATGATTTAAAGGTGTGTAATTACCACTATTTCGATCCAGTTTGTTATTGATTATTTTCGCCACTTATACAGAATGCTCTGGGACGCATCTCCATGACCACGGACCTGTGGAGTGATCCAAATCGTGATAGTTACATGGCAGTGACATCCCACTTTATGATGCGGGGCGAGAAGAACAGACTCGAGTATAGGACTTGCCTTGTTGCTTTTCGGTATATCGGAGGTTCTCATAGTGGCGCTAATCTTGGTCAAGAGTTTTTGAAAATCACGGATGAGCTCGAGGTCACAATCAAGGTAAATTTTGCTGCCTACAATTTGTCGTGTCAATTGAAGGCAAACTTCAATTCTAGTTCGGTCAGATTACCATGGACAATGCATCCAATAATGATACATTTATGTTGGAGCTTGAAATCGAGCTGGATAAGAGAGGCCTTCCCTTTGATCATGCTGGAAATCGTTTAAGGTAATTCTGGTGCTGATTTTTAATGGTGCGGGAGCTGAATCGTCACAATCCTCCAACTTGAACAGATGTTTTCCTCATGTCGTGAACCTCGCAGTGCAGGCCATTCTGAAAGAGCTGAAGGAAAATCCCATTGGACCTGTGTTGGAAGCACCTGCCAGTCTTTCCCCCTCCATGGACCATCATATTTATGCTAATGCCTTGTCAAATGATCCTGTTGGACAATGTCGTGACATTGTCAATTCATGCAGACACTCAGGGCAGCGTCGTCGTCGTCTCCAAGCTGTCATTGAAGAAGGGAACAACAATGGATATTGGAAGGGTAAGCTTCCTGACAACAAGGATAAATTGCCTGTGCTTCGCCTTTTGCGAGATTGCTCGACTCGCTGGTCATCAACCTTCAAAATGATTGATTGTGTTCTCACATTGCATCCAGTAATTTGTTCTTTGCTTTTGACTCTCGTCATTCAATGTTTACTTCTTTCGACAGGCTATCCAGTCATTCCTGCAAGAAATACAAAACACTGACATTGCCCACCTTTCGATGGACTCAAAAGACATCGATGTCCTCCGCGACATTCATCAGATTATCGAAGTCCCCCATGCAGCTCAAGAGCTGCTTGCAAGCGAATGTACTCCAACCTTATCAATGGCCCTTCCCGCATATGAACTACTACTGACGAAATGGATTGAGCTGAAGGAAACCATTTTCGAACTTGCCCATTATATCGAAATCGGCCTCGACAAGCTCACTACCTACATTCATCAAGGGAGGAAAACGCGGATCTATGCACTAGCAATGAGTTAGTTGGAGATTCATTTCGTGGTTGAAAATTTACTGAACTTTGGATAGTTATCAACCCAAGCTTAAAATTTGAATGGATGAAGGTTCACTGGGACGAGAACGATGTAAGAAAAGCACGGGAATGGACATTAGAAGCGGTACGTCAAAACTTTGTTGTCTTTTTTCAGTAGCGCTAATGTTCAGTTTATAGATGACATCTTACCGCACAGCGATGCGCTTGGAACGCGAAAAAGTACCTACACCATGCGTATCAGCATTACAGCTCCCTTACTCTGCGGAAAGTTCTATGTCTGTGGCTGCGCAATCATTGATGGTGGGATTCGGGCGCTTGACGAAGATTAACACAAGTGTTCGACGTTCAACTACCTCATCATTGAGCACCACCTTAGCTACACCACTCCCTCAGGCTCCGAGTCCTCCTTCGTCATTTGGCCAGTCAATTCCAACACTCACGCTGGAAGAGCAGGTGCAACGGGATTTAGAGGAAGATAGGAAAGATGCCGAGCGAGAAATGCAGCGCTATGAAGAAGCGGCACTTCTCGATGCCACAACTGAGCGCACAACTGATATTGTTCGTTTTTGGGAGGTATGTGCATTGTTTAGTTTTTTCAACTATTCAATAAACGAACATAATATTTTATAGCAAAAAGAACACATATTCCTGCTGCTGTTTCGCATTGCAATGGACGTCCTTCCCGCGCAGGCTTCATCGGTCCCTTCTGAACGAGTCTTCTCATCCAGCAAAGAGACATGCACGGATCGGCGTGCCAACCTCTCGCCAACTGTTCTCGAAGCTTTACAGATACTGAAGTTTACTTACAAGCAAGACCGGTTGAATTTCACATCCCATCTTGTTGCAGAAGAAGAAGATTATACTATTTCAGGGCCAGTATCTAGGAATGCCATTGACGAGCTCATGGCGGCGGGCAAACTCGACGAAATTGCTCAGCTGCTCGCAAATGAAAATAAAAATGAAGACTAATCTTCGTCTTAGATTTCTAGTATGCTAGCTACTAGTTACATTTGATTACTAATGTATTCTACTTGTCTCTGACTTCGCGAAGTGTAACGAAGCGCACTTCGAAAAACTTCATTGACATCGAAGTCTACCGAAGTGTCTCGTATTTCCACTTCGATTCACTTCGATTCACTTCGCGGCAACACTAGCCGAGGGTGTGGTAAAATATTTATCACATAGACGGGTGGGCCGACATAGGGTGTATTGCGTATACAGGTGGGCCGACGTAGGGTGTATTACATGGACGGGTGGGCCGAGGTAAGGAAATGTCACATATACGGGTGGGCCGAGGGTGTGGTGATATATATAATACATAGAGGGGTACATATACAGGTGGGTTTAGATACATTTCATACAAACATATAGCTGATGTAGCCACCAGAGAATCAAACATGGAGGATACATGCACACTATGAGTGAATATACCTACCATTGACCACCAAAATCTAAACACATAAGCATGAAAACATGAATGAACCATGCCTGGCATTCACCAATAATTGAGTCCCGAAGCCATTGTGAAGCATATCCTATGTGTCACACACCCAACAACCTGAAGCCCAAAACTCACAAAAATATCGGTCAAATGTCAGTGCAGAACACCGAGTCCCGAGTGCCGGGTGCTACAATCAAATCATTGAATCACCGAAACCCGAAACACGGCACTCAAAACTGGGTGATCACAGTTGATATCACCCGACCTCCGGACACCCAGACACCCGAAGCCCGAAACTCAAACACCATTGTCAAATTTCACCAAGTCCCGAACCCCGAGTCCCAGAACACGGAACTCGGAACTTGGGACTCAGGGACTAAAATGTGAAAGTAAAAAGAGATCTCGTAAATCAAAATCTTTCACAACATAGATATTTTCCCAAGTCCCAAGTCCCAAGTTCCGGGTTCCAGGACTTGGGGTTTGGAGTTCAGGACTTGGTGTGAAATTTGATATTATGAAAAAGTGTAATGTGCACTTTTGAGATTTCTCTTACACTTAAATGTTGAATCCCGAGTCCTGAGTCCCAAGTCCCAAGTCCCGAGTTCCGGGACTCGGGATTCGGGGTTTGGGGACTTGGGATTCAACATTTAAGTGTAAGAAAAATCTCAAAAGTGCACATTACACTTTTTCATAATATCAAATTTCACACCAAGTCCCGAACTCCGAACCCCGAGTCCCGGAACCCGGAACTTGGGACTTGGGACTTGGGACTTGGGACTCAGGATTCAACATTTCAGTGTAAGAGAAATCTCAAAAGTGCACATTACACTTTTTCATAATATCAAATTTCACACCAAGTCCTGAACTCTGAACCCCGAGTCCTGGAACCTGGAACTCGGGACTTGGGACTTGGGACTCGGGATTCGGGACTCGGGACTCGGGATTCAACATTTCAGTGTAAGAGAAATCTCAAAAGTGCACATTACACTTTTTCATAATATCAAATTTCACACCAAGTCCTGAACTCCAAACCCCGAGTCCCGGAACCCGGAACTTGGGACTTGGGACTTGGGAAAATATCTATGTTGTGAAAGATTTTGATTTACGAGATCTCTTTTTACTTTCACATTTAGTCCCCGAGTCCCAAGTTCCGAGTTCTGGGTTCCAGGACTTGGGGTTCGGGACTTGGTGAAATTTGACAATGGTGTTTGAGTTTCGGGCTTCGGGTGTCCGGGTGTCCGGAGGTTGGGTGATATCAACTGATCACCCAGTTTCGAGTGCCGTGTTTCGGGTTTCAGTGATTCAATGATTCAATTCTGCCATAGGTAACATGCATTGCAAAACATTTATGTACATCTATCACTAAGCAATTAGGTAGCCATGTCAACCTCCCCACCAGCTGGCTCAACAGGCACCTCAATATCCATCTCTTCAGAAGCAGAATTATACTCTGGCACAAGGTTGCCCGGGTCATCCGGGACCACAATTTCACCGGACATTTGTGGACCCTCAGGCTGAACTTGGCTGGGCTCAAACATGAGCCCAATTATGACAGAACCATCCTCGACTTTCAAGGGGGTGGGTTCCATGACAGCCATATGAGCCATATCCAAATTGATGAGGGCAGGAAGTGCAGAGGGGAGGGGGGACATGGATGGGGGGGTGGAACTGATTGATTGAGTAAAAATGATGCATCAGCAGGCATGTCCGGAAGTGGAAATGAAGGGTGCTGGTCAATGACCTGGCGCCAGAGGCTCTCATGGAGGCGTTGCAGGGTATCAATCTTACCGTCCTGCTCCCATACACAAGCCTCAAGCATGGCAATGCGAGCTGCACCATCCCGGATGGCGATTGCCATGGAATGGAGATCCGGCATGGGCACATCGAGTGCTGAATGAGGAACTGCAACACTCGAAGACGGAACAGCTAAGGCAAAAATAAGGTCAACTGGTCATTACAACTGCAGGAGACTTACGAGCTGTTGCAGGAGCAGGTGCAGGCACAGGTGCCTTGGTGGAAGTGATTGTTTTGCTTCGACCACGTGACTGCACCTGTGGTGTAGTCACAGCAGGGACAGCCGGAGTACGCGTGGGGCCACGAGATTGGCTGCGAGTTCGGGCCCTTGACTGTGAGGTGGCCGGAGGTGTGGGGGCAGGTGTGCTGGAACGCGTACGACGGGTGGTGGGTTTGCCTCCAGGGCGTGTCCATGGGGGCGGGGATCCCATTGATGCAGGTTGACACTTCACCTTCTTGCTGGCGCAGCGGATGCAGGAGACACAGGGAGTACACCTCCTCCTGTCAAACCGAGTGGCGCAGGGCCAATTGAACTTGACACAATAATGGCAGGGGTTGTTCTGTGAAACAGGTTGGTTGTTGCACAAACGAGAATTATATAGAGTACTCACTGGGCCAGGAACGGTAATGTCGAATGAGCCAATGACTGGGGGATCACCATCCGAAGCATTGGACTCAGTGTCATGGTCCTCCCTGGCCTCCAGACGAGTGCCGGAGGTGGCCTGTCAAATTATTAGTGTAAATGCGAGTTCTGGATGAGCACAGAAGACTTACTGCAACCTCCGGATGAGTGCTGGGAGATTCCTAATACAAAATTGCAGGCATACAAATCATTAGCATGAGTGACAAACAACTTCAAATGACTTACCGGAACCTCCAGATGACTGCCAGCAGTCAACTGATAACATATCAGCATTTATGTGAGATCCGGACGAACAAATTGGACTTACTGAAGCAGGGCCAAAGGATTTCTTTTTTGGAGAACGGGGTGAACGAGGCGAGTGAGGGGTCCCTTGAGCAAGTGTGGAGATCCAGGGAAGGACGACCTCCGGAACTCCATGCGAAATCGGCTGCAAAAAAATTGAGAGAATGTAAAAAATAATCCAGACGACATACCTGAATAATTGTGTCTTCATCATCTTCCTACTCCACAATCGGCTTCGACTTGATGATGCGAGTGGACTTGGGCCGCTTGTGAGACTTCATGGCGGACTTTGGAGGTTGGGATGATTCACCAGAAATCAGTGGAGACTTCCTCTGTCTGCTCCCTCCGACTTCTGGCTCAAGGCTCACATCAACTCCTTACCCTTGCCTTTGTCCCGGAACCCGGAAGGTGCAAGAGTTGAAGGTCCGGCGAGGCTGGGTGGGAATGGAGGGACAGGAGCAGAGGGAATGACAGGAGGAGAGGGATAGACAGGAGCAGATGGAATGGGAAGAGGAGAAGGAAGGTCAATGGTCAGTGGGGCGGTGGATGGGTTAGGGACGACCGGGAGATCGCAGGAATGGTCACCCAAGGCGTCCCAAGCCTGGATCTTGCTGCGCCAGGAGTGTTTGGATATCCGGGGGTCGTCATGGCCGATGCTGTGCCAGTTGGGCCACACCCGGGGAGTCATGGACCTCACCCTCATCAACTCCCTGGAGCAAGATGCCACAACTCCGGGCATGTAAGGCCCCTTCTCAAACTGCCGGGCTATCGCGCCCTACCCGGATGTCAGTGAAACAAATGCCAAGATAAGGAAAGAAATGTCACATACCACAAGGGTGGTGGCCTGTGCTGTAAGAGCATGATGGGCTTCCCCTGTGCCAGCCGGAGTGAGCCAAGCCCGGGTGATGATGCCCACAAGTTGAGCAGTGGAGGCCTGGAGACCGGCCAAAGAGGATTGAACTGGAGCAGACATTCTGATTGAGATGAAACAAGTAAAAAGCTTGAAAGCTGGGTGAAATCTGTTATCACTGGGATGAGGTTTCAAAAGAAATCACACAATTGAAGGACATTGATGAAAATCGCTGATTGTTTGTCTTTGTTTGGTCGTGGTTCAACTTTCGGCAGGCGCCGGCCATGTGTTGAACTTCCTGGTTATCAGTTATCAATCAGCCCATCAGTTCATCATACATCATGAGCTCTCAACCTGGTGTCAGATTTCATGATCCTCCGGTCACCCAGTACACCTCAATGGATGTTGATCAATCATCTGAGTCCCGGTGTAGAGACTCATTCCTGAGTAGCCTCACAATGGCCCATTTTCATATGTAGGTCATGACTACAATACTACGCATGCAACGCGACACTAGCGCGATAAACGCAACGTTCGCGCGACGCGCGCGACTTAGGCGACACAAACGCGACATAGGCGACACTTGCGCGACTTGCGCGCGCCTTAGGCGAATTTTCCCGCGCCTAAGCGCCTTATGGCGCCTGACTTCCCACAGCCTATTCCCATGTCCAACCAAGTTCCCAGGTGTGTATTTCTCCATTTATCATTTATTCCATTATCGTACCATGTTTATCTTACTGGACTTTACACTTCACTTTACACTTTATCTCTGAACCACTACCTACTACCATCTCACTACTACGAGTTTTTATCTATGTTTTGAACAATATCATCGCAAGCCCTAGTAGCAGTTAGCTCTAGTGGTCATATCCGCATTGCACCTCATGCCTTAACGCATCATTAAGTCTCAGTATCGCCCGCATACCGCTTTCGCACAGTTCCGCTTTACAACG